CAATAATTGATAAATAGTAAAATAGTACATTATGTATGAATCTCAGAATAACATTTCTATCTTATTTTTGACATCATTTTGTTTCACATAATGATGTTTCTTTTTGGAAAACTTTTAATAGCTACATTTACTCATGGTCAGTGTTTACAAAACTTGTGGTCACTTGATTGACCATAACAGTTTTTAGACCTTATCAACAGGATGTTCAAATTGCTCGCAAGTGACCGTCGCCTGTCATCTTAAAGTCATGTTGCACCTAGCTGTAGGTTTGATAGAAACACCTTGGTACCTGACTGTAGTACTTGTTACTAGGAAAACTGAGAAAGGGAAAGAATACCAACAGCATTCCAGGCATAAATCACAAATTCTGACCCTTTAATATAGCAAGCCTGTAACATTTTAAGGGTCAGAAGCCATTTGAGGAGGTCATATACCGCTATATGGAGGTAAACAGAAACCCTGTGTACCATGCTGCTAAGATTTGCTCTTTGTCTTACTAGCAGGATACCATTTTAGGGGTATTCAAATTGCCCTTCGTCTGTGGTTCTTGGTCTGTCGTCCATCCTTAAACAATTCTTGTTATCGCTATTTCTCAGAAAGTACTGGGGGATCTTTTTCAAATTGATAGTGTAGATTCCCCTTGGTCCCTAGTTGTGCATGTTTACTTTTGAGACTGACGGGATAAACAAAATGACTGACAGGTGGCCATCTTTGATTTTGACAGTAAATGTTTGTTATCGCTATTTTTCAGAAAGTGCTGCATGGATCTTTCTCAAATTTGTTATGTAGGTTACCGTTGGTCTTTAGTTGTGCTTGTTTATTTTGAGAGTGACCATAAAAACAAGATGGCTATTCTTCTTCTTATTCCAATTTCCGGCCACCTTCGACGTGTCGCAGATTATGCCAGTTTGTGTGTGCGCACATTACTATTAAAAGTTTAAGGATCAGGTTAAAAACTGGGAAAAAACAGTGGAACGGTTTTAGTTGAAATGCTGAGTCACTTGAGACTTAAAGATCTCAAGTGATGTTGCTGTGGCAATATCAGGTGGCAGGCTGTTCCAGTCCCTCACTGACCATTTCCTGCAATCTTTGTTTGTTGATGGAATTGCAAGACTGTGTTGGTATATGAATGCCTTGATGTCCTGGTTGGCTTGCTGAAGTGATGTCCTGGTTGGCTTGCTGAAGTACTTTTGGTGGTCAATGACTACTTTGTTGTTCATGATCTTATACATCATAGACAAGCATGTTTCTTTTCTACGTTCTTGTAATCTGGGCCACTACAACTGTTCTATCATCTCTGAGGGACCCAAGAGTCAACGCTGGCCTCATCTGACATTTCACCCTCTACAGCAACAATCTGCCTTCTGTTCCTTAGAAAACCCTCTATCCAGCATAACGTGTTCTCTCTAATACCATAGTGATGTAGTTTGTGGAGTAGTTGGTTGTGTGAGACTTTATCGAAAGCTTTGGAGAAGTCGAGAATTAGCAGATCCGTTTGTTTTCCAATATCCAGTTTTTTTAGGATGTCATCTTTACACTCTAGGAGCTGTGTTTCGCAGGATCGTTTATTTCTGAAGCCGTGTTGTAAAGGGTACAGGATGTTATGTTCCTCGGCATGTTTCATTATGTGGTTCATGATAATGTGTTCCATCAGTTTACAGCACACGCACGTCAAGGAAATAGGTCTGTAGTTTGATGGTAAGTACTGTTGACCTTTTTTGAAAGCTGGTGTTATACGGGCAAATCTCCATTCTGTTGGCACCTCTCCAGTTCTTAGTGAGTTACGGAAGATAATGGTAAGTATGGGTGCAACTTCATCTGCAAGTTCCTTCAATATCACGGGTTTGATGTCGTCAGGTCCTCCAACTTTTTGGATGTTGAGGTTCTTCAGAAGTTATGTATTCCTTCCTCAGTGATGTTGATGTCATGTGCAGAAGGATATGTGTTATGTGAGGTACTCATCAGATTGGCATCCCTGAATTCCTGTCTTGAAATTTTGGCTGAAGATGAAAAGACCGATTGGAACTGGTTGTTGAGGATTTACAGATCTTTCTCGTATTACAATGATCGGTTCTATTGTTTTTACATTAAGTACTGTACTAGTAAATATGTGAAGCAACAAACTCACTATGAAGGCTGTCTTTTGTAGAATGAAGTTTAGATAAAAAGTTACCTCAAGGTGCATTTACTGTTTACTTGGCTTATGTAAACAGATTAGACAAAAGAAGAGAAAAAATCGCGATGACATTAGAACTAATGAAGATGGTACAATGGTGGGCGCCAAGATCCCTCTGGGATCTCTTGTTTGTTTTCTTACATAGCAAAAGTTATTGATTTTCTGTTAATACCACACTAATGGGTGTGAAATGTGTCAAAGGTGTAAAACAAAAAGGAATTCAATTTCATATTTAGCCCACCATCATTTGATGGGTCCCTATATAGTTGTGCATATATTTAGTTTTGAGACTGATCATAAAAACAAAATGGCCGTCATATTGCAATGATCGGTTCTATTTCTCTCACATTAAGTACTGTACTATTAAATATGTGAAATGACAAACTCACTTTGAAGGTTGTCTTTTATACACAGCAGTATTAAGTTTAGATCAAAAGTTTTCTCAAGGTGCATTTACTGTTAACATGACTCGATCAAACAGATAAGAGGAAAGAAGAGAAAAGATCAAACTGATCACATAGAACTAATGAAGATGGTACAATGGTGGGCGCCAAGATCCCTCTGGGATCTCTTGTCTTATGTGCATATAAAGAATTAGATCATTTACATAATGTCACGTATGCCCCAATGGACCCCTTTGAAATTACAATATTTCTTGTAAAATTTTGGCATGCTTCTGCTGCTATTATGATCATTTCTTTTACACTACTTCATATAAGTGTATTAATTAGGATGATAGGATGTGTATTGTGAAAACATTACTTTTGGATCAATCAAACACATATAATCGCTATTTGTTGGATTCTTCTCTCATGAATTTGCTTATGCTTGATAATAGCGTAAACATGGCTTCAACTTTAGATCTGAACTTGGTGAGATAAGCACACTTGTAGCAGTCCAGGAAAAGGCTTCGCTTGATTATATTTTGCTTCATTGCAATTTAAAATCTTTTCATACCAATATTCTTGTAATATTTACAAAATTATATGACTTCAATTTTAACTGCATTTTTTATTGTGGCACGGTCACTTTACGCAAAGTACAGGTACTTGACCTCAATGAATTAAAAAATAAACATTGTATAATTTAGCTGTGTCACAGTGTAGTGTTAGACCGAGTATGAACCGTATCTTACTACAACATAGACACAGAATGTAATCAAGAGGTCATACAGTGCAGATTGTACCCTTACCGTATTGGTTGTAATTAACTACCAGTGTATATACATGTATATTAACTTATACACCAGAACATACAGTGTCTACGTCATAGCTTTCTGAAGATATAGCCAAAAGGGAGACTTTTTAAAATATTGTGGTACTACTAATAAAACTTTAAAAAAAATATGACTAGAATACTGTAATAGTTTCTATATAATTATGCAAAATCAATATGACTGTCATGCTGGTACCTAAACCTGGTATATATGAGTGAACAAAGGGAAGAGTGCATACATGTGATGCCTTTGGAACACAATGCAGGGAGATTTGTGTTTTGAAGGAGGGAGATTGGATTTTAAGTAGGAAGATTTTTTCGGTGGATCACAACCTAAGATTGTTTCTTTTATAATTATCAAATTTTACCACATTTTTAGGGAAAAGAACAACATGTACATGTATGTTTTCAATCAAACTCTGACTGACTGTGGTAAACACTCCAATCTCATGATATGACCAAAGAGAAACACTACATGACCACTGCAGTACTACCAAAAGGTGTGGCTAATGGAAGAGAATGACAAATGAATGACTGTAAAAAATATAAGGCAAGGTAGTGGCAACTGCAGAAGTATTAAAAAACGGGGCAAAGGGAGATAATGACCAGGGTGTTACAGTACTGCCAAGAACATGGGTAAAAGGAGTACAATGACAAACCATACAGGTTACTTGTAAATGATGTGACAAAAGGAAGAGAATAACTATTTGTGTCATATGGTATATGGCCAAACAGGAAGACATGACAAACTGGCTATATTACATGCATAAAACTTCAAAAAGGGAAGAAAAAGGAACGGAATGAACCATTGCATAAGTATCAAAAAGATCAGATCAAAGCTTAGAAAGACATGTACGGTAGTCACTGCAGAAAAGAGACACCATTCATAACTGTCAAATAGAGAAATTGACCATTCAAAAGCTAACATGTACATGTACTACATTCTAAGGAATACTGATCATAAAGAATATAACTTCCACAAAGTATGGATTAAGATGGTGATCATAATCACATATTGCACTCCTGCCAAAATGAAACAGTGATTTCTACATATACTATATGACCAACAGGAAATAGTGACGAAATGCAATGGGTTGCATAATCGCAAATCAAAAGATTGGATGGCATGTTTTGGTATACCAACTTTAAAAACTAAATAAAGCCTTCCATGATATAAATAGTAACATGTCTGATATGTAATTGATTATGTGGTGTATTCTGAGTCGTCACTTAACGTGGAGATAGAAATCTGGGTCCTGATTGTTCCAAGTCTGGTTAGCTTAACAAATCCTATACAAACTTTCAAAATGTGATTGTTTAGATATTTCTGAACATGACCAATACCTTGTATATTATAAATATAAATATTAGTATCTTTTAATTACAAATATCTTATATTTTTTATAGTAAACCTTTGCAGTAAGTTGTGATTAAGCTATGTGTTATATAAACTAGGACCTGCTAATAAAACATCTACCTGAATGTAAATGTCTCTTTGGAAAAGTATTGATTATATTTAATATTCATGAACTGGTCGCTGTCGTTCTACCTGTACAGGTGATATTGGCAGATGACATTTTTACCAGTATAGGTGATAGAGCTATACCCAATACACAAGATCTATCCCCACAGACGGGGAGCTGTCGGCCCATTGCATGGTCCTGGGGCTTTCTCTAGTATGCTGTGGTAGTGTACTGAGTGACCCTAATTATACCATGATAGTACAAAATGTACAGGCGAATTAAGGAGAAGTTTATTGTTTCACTAGCTGTGATGTACCTTGAGTACTCATCTATTATGTAAAAGGCTAAATAAGGTAAGGACACTTTTATATACCATTCTCAGCATTATAGGATCTGGGGATATGTGGTATTTACAGATTGTATGTCCATTCCTTCGTTGCTTTTCTACGATGTATACATTTCGTAAGGTCAACCAGTATCTGTACAGGTTCCCTTAATGTATGTACGTCCATAGGTGTTGGGTTTCCGGAGTATTGAGTTCTTGTCCTAATGTAATGATATCTCCGGGTAAATTCATTACACTAAGTAACTATTGTACTATTAAATGACGATTTTATGGCCAGATAAAACACGACCAATCTGCCTGGAACAATTCATTATTGTGGTGGTCAACTTTCGTCTGGATTAGGTTCACACTATCGTCCGTACAGTAATGCAACACTGGGCAGAATATAGGCAGGACCCCGATGTTGAAATTGTAAGCAGGCCTCGGATGTTGAAATTGTAAGCAGGCCTCGGATGTTGAAATTGTTCTGCTGAATTGGCACCATGAAAGAAACATCTATCCTACAAGGGAACTTTTAAGTGTATTTATATTGTACCAAGGTGCTTAGGTACGTTCAGGTGGAATTGTTTTTATTTTGGTGGTGTGTGTATTTTATCAGTAAAAGTTAGAGATATTTGAAACCTTCGTGATTAATTTAACTAAAGACTTGTTATTGATATTTGATGTGTTTGGGTTGAGTGTTTATAGGAATAACTGGGATACGAAATACTCTGAAAGAACAGTAGAAGTGTTATACATGGATGGTTCAACACGAAAACAAAATTATCGGAAGTTTTATCAGTTGTGACAATATTGATATTAGACTTGCTGTAAGGTAAGTGTGGGTTTTAAATTTGTCAGTAGAACCTTGTTGAGGTGTACTAGGAGATAGTGTAAACAGGCTTTTAGATTATAGTCTGGGTATATATTGGATCCAGTAATGTAATTTTACCAATAAATGTTTCTGGTTAATGGATAAAAACATTGGAACCATTTACCATACCCAGTTTAAGTATAAATTCAGAATATTCTTACTTGGTGGGAAAAGGTAAATCAAAAATCAACATTAATCATGAATTTGACTGATTAAATAAGAGACTTTTGTTAATGTTTCTTATATATTTCAAATTATTGTGAAATTGATTTTTGCTATGAGTTAATTTGTAAAAGCAAATATTAAATACCCAGAACTGTTTGCTTGAGCAATTTCTGTGTGACGCCATATAAACAGGATAGGATATGACAGGTACACAACTGTAGAATGAATTGTTACTTGGTAAACATTGCCGGCTTTGAACACACACATCAGTAAACTCATTCCTCAGGTGGCAGTAGACCCAAAACATACAAATAAAATGTGATTTGTTTATTGTGATGGTTCAATACAAGGGAGCTTAGACCTGATCATAGGTATTGGGTTTTGTGTCTACTACAATGTTCCCACTCCCGACACGCTAAGGTACGTGTTGTAGAACTGCTTGTCGTGACGGAGAGACATTAGGTATGATTGGGAGGAAATCTCTGCTACCAGGATTTCACTCGGTGGCCATGTCATAAATTCATGTTGAACTGTACATATTGGTGCTATTTTTAGATTATAACAGTTTCTCTTGGTTGTTACATCCATATATGTGTTGATAAGGAGAACTGTTGTTGTCATATTGAGATTAAAATACCATGTAAATTAAACATAGAATACTTAAAATAGTATTATTTGAATTAAACCAACCTTTTACTAAAATAAACATTGGTGCTATTTTTGGATTTTACTGATTTCTCTTTGTTGCTATGTGTTAAATCCATATATGAATGTTACTAAGGAGAACTGTTAGTGATGTTCAAATATTAAAATAACCTGAAAATTAAACTTAGAATACTGAAATTAGTTATAGCTGAGTTAAAGCAATCTTTTACTAAAATAAATCGGGCACCTTTTTGTGATAGTGTATATTACCAGGGTTTATACAATGATCATGACTTCATTTGGTTGCTATGACACCAGTTTAAAGCCATGCGAAAACAGCATGTATAAATTGGTGCCGTTTTGGATTATGTGTAAACCTAAATTGTCAACTTAACAGATAGATGTGTCTCCAAATGAGAAAACTGCTTATATTTGTAAGTATTTATTGATAAACCCCTTTTAAAGGCTAACATTTCTTGTACAATTATGTACTCGATAACTTATTATCACTAGTGTTTTAACGGTCTTTGAGGCTTTGTATAGTTGATAGTAAATATTATGCAATAATAGTCTGGCCTGTTGTTTGCCCTATTTACATGCGGAAGATGTATACCGCAGTTTTCAATCATAGAAACTTTCCCCGATTTCCGTTTTTGCTTGGATTGAATGTGATTTTAGCTCCAACAAACATTGTCCTGACTTTGATTGGTGTCATGGTCCGGCATGGAAAACCTTGCACAGAATTTTCTATGTCTTATTTAATTATTAATGAACAGTTAGAATAATGAAAGCAACAGTGTTTATAAAACTATTGTATACTACATAATCATTATTTGACTGCAAATCGATGCAAGCTCACTGTACCAGGTGACTGAGGAAAACCTATCTGTATACCTACAAGGTATCTGTTCCTTAATGCTGTGAGACCCTATCTGTATACCTACAAGGTATCTGTTCCTTAAAGCTGTGAGAACCTATCTGTATACCTACATGGTATCTGTTCCTTAATGCTGTGAGAACCTATCTGTATCCCTACAAGGTATCTGTTCCTTAATGCTGTAAGAACCTATCTGTATACCTACAAGGTATCTGTTCCTTATTGCTGTGAGAACCTATCTGTATACCTACAAGGAATCAGTTCCTTAATGCTGTGATAACCTATCTGTATACCTACAAAGTATCTGTTCCTTAATGCTGTGACAAAGACTTGTAATTATAGGGTTTAGGAGAACCTATCTGTATACCTACAAGGTATCAGTTCCTTAATGCTGTGAGAACCTATCTGTATCCCTACAAGGTATCTGTTCCTTAATGCTGTGACAAAGACTTGTAATTATAGGGTTTAGGAGAACCTATCTGTATACCTACAAGGTATCAGTTCCTTAATGCTGTGAGAACCTATCTGTATCCCTACAAGGTATCTGTTCCTTAATGCTGTGAGACCCTATCTGTATACCTACAAGGGATCTGTTCCTTAATGCTGTGAGAACCTATCTGTATCCCTACAAGGTATCTGTTCCTTAATGCTGTAAGAACCTATCTGTATACCTACAAGGTATCTGTTCCTTAATGCTGTGAGACCCTATCTGTATACCTACAAGGTATCTGTTCCTTAAAGCTGTGAGAACCTATCTGTATACCTACATGGTATCTGTTCCTCAATGCTGTGAGAACCTATCTGTATACCTACAAGGAATCAGTTCCTTAATGCTGTGATAACCTATCTGTATACCTACAAAGTATCTGTTCCTTAATGCTGTGACAAAGACTTGGAATTATAGGGTTTAGGAGAACCTTTCTGCATACCTACAAGGTATCTGTTCCTTAATGCTGTGAGACCCTATCTGTATACCTACAAGGTATCTGTTCCTTATTGCTGTGAGAACCTATCTGTATACCTACAAGGAATCAGTTCCTTAATGCTGTGATAACCTATCTGTATACCTACAAAGTATCTGTTCCTTAATGCTGTGACAAAGACTTGGAATTATAGGGTTTAGGAGAACCTTTCTGCATACCTACAAGGTATCTGTTCCTTAATGCTGTGACAAAGATTTGTAACTATAGGGTTTCAGTGTCTGCCATGAACAAACAGTTGTTCACTGTGTCTTTGATTAATGGTGACTGATGTACATACTTTTCTGGGATTGACGTTTACCACTTCCATGTACATTTTGTGTATGTACACATGTATGTTGTGTATGGTATAATATACTTATATTTATATACATGTATATAAATACATGTATAAGTCATTATTTTTGATGTCTTAAGAATGTATACTCCATTTATGACGTCACAAATAAATTTAAATCGCCTGAAGAGCCCCAAGATGGGCGAAAGCGCTAACCGATTATAAATGTATATATATATATATATATATATATAGGATCTGTCATAAGTTTCCCCTCATATCAGATTTATGATATAAGTTTGGGATTTTTCATGTTTGCGAGCCTCTGGCGAGCAAATATGAAAAATCCAAAACAAGTATCATAAATCTAATATAAATGGAAACAAATGACTGATTCTTTTTATCATATAATACAAAGTTATCTGTATAATTGCGATCTGAAACAAATATTTTGCACTTGGCGGCCTCTGAAAATTGCGTCCGCTACACAATTACATGACGTCACATTGATTGTTCCTACTCGATTGTGACGTCATTTCCGGAGTGATATTACGCACGTTACATGCATAATTTATGTGTTGACTTTCTGCATAACACGGTATTCATATGGTATATCATACAATTAATGTCATTAAATGTACCTCATGACAGATATATTTTGACATGGATGAATTTATCCTATCCTTGCAACTGTATATATAATGGTTTCTGTTGCTGTGGTATCGTTCAGTGTCGGTGATGTCTGTTGAAGTTCATTCTCTGGAGTTTGTTTGATTAAATGTTTCCATGTCAGCGTTTTATTGAAAGCTCAGTATTCCCTTTAATAGGCATGTTTGTGGGTTTCATTTCTGTGGAAAGTTTGAGTCCCTTTTGTAATTGACATGTCTTTGTTCCAGTGAAAGTTCCGCACTCCCTGGAGCGCCCACCCTCCGCTAGTACAGCCACAGGTGGTCACAGGACCCAGATCCGGGCATTCCAGTCCAACTCCAGTCCTGTGTACAAGACCCAGTCAGATAGCAACATCTCAGACAGGATGAAGGGTCTGTCACTCAAGGACAGGGTCAACAACAAGAGTCCACAGAAAGCTGGGTAAGTGTTGGAGAACAGATCAGCAATAAAAGCCTGTAGAAGGTCACATTAACATTTTGGAACAGTTTGAGTAACAAAAGAGTACAGAAGGTTGAATATGTGATAGTCATTAATGTTGGGTATGTGTTTGAGGACAGGGTTAAAACAAATCAACAGAAAATCAGGTTCTAGGACATCAAAATATGTCAGAAGGCAGGGGAAGTGTTTTTGAACAGAGTGAACATAAAAAGTTTAAAGAAGATTGGGAAAGTGTCAACAAAAGTCAGCAGAAAGAAATGTAATTATACAGGCTTTGAGTGGGCTAAAAGAAATGTAATTATACAGGCTTTGAGTGAGCTAAAAATAATGTAATTATACAGTCTTTGAGTGAGCTAAAAATAGTGTAATTATACAGGCTTTGAGTGGGCTAAAAACAATGTAATTATACAGGCTTTGAGTGGGTTAAAAATAATGTAATTATACAGTCTTTGAGTGAGTTAAAAATAATGAAATCATACAGGCTTTGAGTGGGTTAAAGGAAATGTAATTAAACAGTCTTTGAGTGGGTTAAAAGTAATGTAATTATACAGGCTTTGAATGGGCTAAAAATAATGTAATTATACAGGCTTTGAGTGGGCTAAAGGTAATGTAATTATACAGGCTTCGAGTGGGCTAAAAGTAATGTAATTATACAGGCTTTGAGTGGGCTAAAAGTAATGTAATTATACAGGCTTTGAGTGAGCTAAAAATAATGTAATTATACAGGCTTTGAGTGGGCTAAAAGTGATGTTTCTATAGAAACAAATCCCAATTTCGAATTCAAAGTTCACTTGTTAAAAGTAGCTGAAGAATTCACCGAGTATAAATTGGTTTCGTATTATAATTCTGTGTAATGCTGTCGTAGGCGGTCCTTCATGAGTACTCTCGGGGGAGCGGGGAACGTTCACGTCAAGGCCCTCAATGACGTGGCCAATCTGCTGAAGAATGATGCCTGTAAGAATGTGGTCGTAGTGGCCGGGGCCGGCATCAGTACACCGAGTGGCATCCCAGATTTCAGGTAAACAGTAGAAAATGGTTAATGTTTATCCATTCATTCCTCTCCTTTGTGACAAAAAATTATTGGGAAAACCTGAAATTATTGGGAAAACCTAAAATAAATACATTATATATATTTAAAGTAGAATCCTATCCTCCAATAAGCGCAGGGGGCCAGGCCAACACCTAATCTCTGGTTCATGACAGTGGATCCCCGGATTTGTCTGGATTCTTCGATATGATTGGGCTTATTTACAGGCATCAGCTTATTGCCGGATAAATATGATGATATGATAGAAACTAAATTTTTTGACATTGTCATTTCCGTTGTATATCATTTTGCAATTTCTATTACTTTTAGATTGTCTGTAGAATTGGATTCTATTTCATTGCCTATACACAAATGTTTATGTGTGTTTGTTTCTAGGACTCCAGGCACAGGTCTATATGACAACCTGAAGCAGTATAGGATACCCTACCCAGAGGCCATCTTTGATATTGATTACTTCCATCACAACCCAAAGCCATTTTTCACATTGGCTAAGGAGCTGTACCCATCAGGGAAATACCGCCCAAACTACATCCACTACTTTGTCAGGCTGCTACACGACAAGGGCATGCTACTCCGAATGTACACCCAGAACATTGACGGACTAGAGCGATGTAAGTTGTCTTCTATTCAAAATAATTCCTGAACACTATGTTCTACTTGTTTGACATGAAGACGGTTCCTAACTGTCTGAGTGGCTACCCAGGTTCAAGAAGCATTTATTTAGGAGGTCATTTCATAAAGCTGTGGCAGTCTGGAACCTGTGACGCCGTGGCTGGATGAGCGAAAATCGGTCTTGACGCTGCGTTGAACGACCTCCAGCATGACGTCTGGAAGGGTTTCCGTTAGTTTGAAACGATTCCTCATTCTTGCCACCACACTTTGAGACACCCCAAGGTCTGCAGCAACCCGACGTTGAGACATGCTAGCTTGTAGCATTCCGATGCCCCTATTCATTTCACCGTCATTTAGCCGTTGTCTGATTCGTCTTTGTGCCATATTAAAACAAAAGCACGTAAACAATATTCATCAAATTGATTTCCTTTACAATTTGAACACCGCCTTACTTAGCCTAGCTTAGCTTTTGAAAGGGGTGTACACGTGGAAGAGCATGCACATGCTTTTATGGTTGACTGAACACACCCACACAGGATGTTTTGGAAGGCTATCATATTCACCCAAAACAGTGCGAAAGGAAAATATAATATCCTTTATAACATTTTGATTTTTTTTTCAAAATATAGGTGATCCTTAGTAAAATGTGAGTAGCATATCTACATGTAGTGTCCATACAGGTTTCTATGGAACCAACAGAGGTTGGAAGTTTTTGACTTTTAGCCCATCATCATTAGACAGTGGACTGTTTAAATTACCCTTCGACTGTTGTCCGTTTGATCCCAAAACCAAGAAGGCAGACAGGCACCATCTTGAGTTTTGAGAGTTAAAGTTTATAAGCAATATTTCTCCAAAAGTACTGCAGGGATCTTTCACAAATTTTATGTGAAGGTTACCTATAGTTCCTAGTCATGCATTTTAAATTTGAAAAAGGCTGACAGGTGGCCATCTTGAATTTTGAGAGTTATAAAGTACCATGCACTATTTCTCAGAAAGTACTGAAGGGATCTTTCTCAAATTTGATATGAAGTTTCCTTGGTTCCTTGTGCATGTTTAATTATGAGCCGGATTGGAAAAATAATGGCCAACAGGTGGCCATCTTGGATATTGACAGTGAAGTTTTGTTGCCTCTATTTCTTAGAAAGTACTGGATGGATCCTTTGATAAAATTTGATGTGCATGTTCCCCTTGGTCCCTTACCCCTGGCTCTAATGGGAATTCATCCCTCATTGACAGCACTCCTTATTATGTAACAGTTACAACTTTTAGCATTTTACATACCGTATATGATATAGTTATATAATTCTTATTCAATAACATTTGCCATAATGGCACATTACATGTGACATTTTGAGGTTTAAGTTAACGTACACAATTCCCATGTAGGATTTCCAACATGGGGCTGGGTAATAGTAGTACTTGTAAGGAAAATGGAGAGCAAAATTTACAGAAGGTAAAAGATCATCTTTTACAGATCTGCTAAAGATCCTTTGATGGTGGGCTCCAAGATTCCTCTATGATCACTTGTTGTAGATTCTCAGAAGACACCCATACACAGACACAGTATATCTATCAATGTGCTGTACTCTTTTAATGGGGATACCTTCTGAGTAACTTAGAATAGAAGCAAAAATACATTATTCATTGTTGAGGAGGTTAAACCCAGAGCCCCACAAATCTGCAAGTCCCTATTGGCACTTAGAGAATAAATTATTTAAATCTAAAACAAACAAAAATGTTACTCTCTGTGACCAAGACTTTTCTCCCTGTTTGTAACTGTGTATTTCTAATTTTGATATGTATACATTTTTTTTAAAATTAAATGCCCTTCTGGAACCTGAGATATAAGTGCAAGTTGATATTGAGGATCAAAATACTGTTGCAAATTTATTGGTAACTTGATACTATCATGAAGAAAGGAGCATACTTGAAAATCTTGAAATATCACATATGTATTTGACACTGTTACAGTCAGCTTCAATGGTGTTCACATGTGAAAATATTCGAGATTACAGCATTTGTCCGCTCTGGTATTGATCATCTAGGGAGTTTACCTGTCCTCCCTCTGTCACAAAAAAAATCATGAATTCATTTTTCCAAATTCAATTATTTTTATCCTACCGTCAGCATTCCTTTCCTTATAAAAAGTAGACTGAACTGTCCATTATTTTGATCACATGGGTAATACCATCATGACTTGAAAAGAGAATAAAGGGTGTAAGATAATTGCCTATTTCTGTAAGATGACATTTACGTGACTATCTCCAGCTGTGTGGGTGTGGACTGTACCGCCAACATTCATTCTTCATTAACATTTCACTTGTTGATGCTGGTGCTATTAACCCTTTAACCCCTATGTAACTTTAGTAGACTTTACCATGATTGATCTGGATGAGTCCATTATGGTATACAGTGGTGAAAGGGTTTTAACTTACAAAAAAACACAGGGTACAAAAATATCAGGGTGACTGGCCCATAGGTATGACGGTGACCCTGTCCTCTGTTAATGGTTAAGCTTGAGGATTTGCTTAGTGTTTATAATCTATCTTTATACTCAATAATGTTGGACAAACTGCATGTCGGATAACATACTGTCAAATAGAAACAGTTATCTTCATAACTCGCCTGCAGCTGATTACAGTTTTCATGGTCAATAATTTAGTCCCCAATGTTGTGCTTGAGCACATCACGACCTTCCAGAAGTACACCATCACAGGTAGTGACCTCAATATCTGGGTCTGACCTTAACTGAATTAAAAAAAGGACTGAGATTTTTAGCTCAAATGAATGATCCTGTAGGCTATTGGTCTGCTTTCTTATCCGCTGTCTGCTGTATGTTGTGCACTTTTTATTTCTACAGAACTAATGAAGCAATAGTAGACTTTAAACTTTGCACTGATGCTCTGAGCAAATGTTGCTACTGTTGCTGATCTAAAAATCCAAGATGGCTGCCCTAGCCTCTATCAGCTAAGACATTGTCAACGTCTTCTCAAGAAAGGCTGTAATTCAGCAATTGACCCAAAACTCGGCATAAATTTCTGTATGAGTTTCTGAAGAAGTGTTCTTAATTTTCATGCTGATTTTTTGGGCCAGGTGAACAAATATAATTAATGAGCCCAGCAGATCTAGTTTGGATGTGGTATTGCTGTATTTCAGAATATTCCTGGTTTTGATTTTCCCCTTCTTAATATAGCCTACACTTCTGTGACTTTGCTGTCAATGGTGTCCTCTATTTGTTTAGTTTATATCCTCCTAAAGATCTGGGCCTATATTCTTTAAACTGTTCTCATGCTCAAGGATGAATTCCTGTGCTCAAGCCAACTTTCTTGTAACTCGTTTAAATCATGTAACATTTAAACGGTGTTCGCCTTTATGTTTCACCAATGTAATTCCATATCACTGACAAACTGTGACCTTATTATAATGCTGATCTATCACTGGAACAAGAAATTGGGTTTGAGGACAAAGTTTGAGTTTGAGCAGGAGAATGGTTTCAGGGATACAGCCTGGACTAACGGGTTAACATTACAATTTCTGTCGTCTACACCCATGCCTACCCTTGTTTTAACACCAACATTGATGGCAGTATAACAAGGTTTTACTTTAGTTTCAGTGTATGAAATGATTGATCTACACATATAAATCACTCCAAAAGTGCTGAGATAAGGTTAACACTACTAAGATAAGGTTTACACTACACTGGGAATTTATCTAGATCAGACTATATAGGTGTAGCCCAGTGGCTCAGTAGGGTATGGTGTATACACATCTGTATTCCATACCTCATGCTGAATACCAGCCAGATTGTTCAGGTTCAGGTCAATAGTGTCAACAGGTGTATCATACATGTTCTATTGATCCATTATTGGGGCCTTGAATTATCGGCTTCAAGCTTTATTGGTTTTATCAATAGAAGCCATTGTCGTCATCTAATATTTCACAGCACGTCGACATTCAACTTGCTTTTAAAACCTGATTTATATACTTGTGACAAAACAGCATTTATATTTAAACCGTATTTTGATAAATCATATTTTGAATGGCCTTTTGTATTGAATGAATCTATTTGTCATGAAGGATAGATTTATATACCTGTCACAGATATTAGGAAGGTATCAATTGATTTTATGGAACATCAAGATTAAATTTTACAATTAATATCCATGGAACCAAACTGAATGTAAATTGGTGCTCATTTTACTGCACAAGAAATGTAAGAGAGGCAAATTTGTGTGATGCAATTGCAACTTTAAGAATAAAGAGAGAGAAAAAAGAGACATTTTTGGAAACATGTCAAAGCAACTGAACTGAATTACAGTAAAAACTAACTCTTCTGGGACTTACTTTTTCATTCTGAATATAAATATTTTTGATTCATTCAGATGATTTTTTCTATATGTTTATGTGGGACCATGCTGAAGTTCTAGTTTATACAGGGTTTCAGATATTGCAGGGTCCTGTTTAAACAGGTTATACAGCATTAATCCTGGAGATTAGAAGAAATTTCTTCTCCATAGACTAACAAATGTATCAAGATTCAGGAATTTAATTTAACTGTTTATTTTCAATAGTGAAGCAATTATTCCCACTTAAATCAGTATATGATACAGTCTGTTATGATTGTGTATTGGAGTTGTATTCACTTCTCACAACTTTCTGTATAATTGTTTTTTCAGTGGCGGGATTGCCGGCAGATAAACTTGTGGAGGCGCATGGGACTTTTGCCTCGGCAACCTGCACAATTTGTGGTTATTTACATGAAGGGTCGATGGTCAAGGTAGGTTCAGCAGAAAGTTTAATTACTGTGTCATAACACAGATCTCTTTGTATTGCTTAAACACAGAAAGAAGCAGATCAATATCATGAAAATCTTAGTATATTATCAGTCAGAATCAGTTGATTTCAGAGGAATAATTACTTTAAAGTAATTTGAAGTTAATTAAACTTAATCAACATTTTTGTTATGAAAAACGAGACATATTGAAAATGAGACCGCTGTTGTGTTTGGTCAATCATCTAATGAAAATTGGTGTGGATGTCAGAATTTGATTTAAATCTGCTTTTTCTCACATGATCCTGTACATGTGTTGGCAGATTTCCCATCATATGATTTGATAAATATTGCTTGCTTCAGGATCCTGTGTTGTATGGCAGATTTCCCATCATATAATTTTATAAATGTTGTTTGCTTCAGGATCCTGTGTTGTATGGCAGATTTCCCACCATATAATATTATAAATGTTGTTTGCTTCAGGATCCTGTGTTGTATGGCAGATTTCCCATCATATAATATTATAAATGTTGTTTGCTTTAGGATCCTGTGTTCCAGGACAGGCTTCCTTTGTGTAAGAGACGGGGCTGTCCGGTAAGTCTGTGTGAAGGAGCTCATATCGTCACTAATATTATTCCTTACTTGATTTAATACTAAATACCTCTGAATACACATCAAATTCACCATTGTCAAGACTTCTCATTAAGTAAGTGAATTTGTCAATTTATTTTAGACACTTAAATCTGTAATACATTTGTATTTCCTCAGAATAGTAGGCCCCTTGTGTAAATGCCCTTGTGATGGGCCTCTCATGATTGGAATTGAAGAAGATTTGGTCTGTAAGATAATCTAATGTTGATAACAACCCCTGTCAGACTGTTAATCAGCGACAGCATTGATTATTGTATTGGCCTGTTACGATTGTGAAGTTACATCAATATTGTTATGTAAAATGTGCTGTTTACAATATTAGGCTGTAATCAGATTGTCTGTTTTCTACGCAGAAGGAATAAATTCTGGCATGTTAACGGTTTAAGGAGATTCGCCCTGTTATCTTTCCTCTTGACACACAGGAATACACATTCTTTTAACAGAATAAAGTTATGTCACCGTATGAAAATTCTTTTTTACAGTAGATATATACAGGGTTCTCTGTCTAAACTGGCCACCCCTGAGACCACATAATTTGCCAGTTTGCATCCAAAGAGTTTTGGATTGTAGTCTATTTATTAGATATATCATTGTCAAATTCTTTCGTGTTTGTACAAAACAATAGATTGTTCAGAGTTCCATTCAATTTCCTAGTGTAGAATTGGAGTTTGATTGAATTTAACTGGAAACATAAATAACAATATATGGTTTCCTATAAATTTTCATTTACGGTTATGCCAATACCGGTAATCCCTTGTAATTATATAATTAAGGCACTGAATTCTCTGTGAAGTTCGAACCAGTTAACTTAAATTCAAATGTTTAACAAAAATTCCAAATGTTTAATTCATATTCCATTAGACAAGATATTTGAATTTTAACATTACTGACTGTTTGTTCCTTTTTGTTGTTTCTTTAGGGAATTGTGAAACCAGATATTGTGTTCTTTGGCGAGGATTTACCACAACGATTTTACTTCTACCTAAAGGATATGTTACAGGCCGATCTAGTCATTATCATGGGGACCTCTCTAGGGGTAAGTAAGGGTCAAATCACACTGACCAATCTAGTCATTATTGTGGGTACCTTGATAGGGAACGATGAGGGTCAAATCACACTGACCAATCTAGTCATTATTGTGGGTACCTTGATAGGGGACGATAAGGGTCAAATCACACTGACCAATCTTTTCATTATTGTGGGTACCTTGATAGGGGTAAGTAAGGGTCAAATCACACTGCCCAATCTAGTCATTATTGTGGGTACCTTGATAGGGAACGATGAGGGTCAAATCACACTGACCAATCTAGTCATTATCATGGGAACCTTGATAGGGAACGATAAGGGTCAAATCACACTTACCAATCTAGTCATTATTGTGGGTAACTTGATAGGGGTCGATAAGGGTCAAATCCCACTGCCCCATCATTTCATTATTGTGGGTACCTTGATAGGGGACGTTAAGGGTCAAATAACACTGACCAATCATTTTATTATTGTGGGTACCTTGATAGGGGACGATAAGGATCAAATCACACTGACCAATCTAGTCATTATTGTGGGTAACTTGATAGGGGTCGATAAGGGTCAAATCCCACTGCCCCATCATTTCATTATTGTGGGTACCTTGATAGGGGTAAGTAAGGGTCAAATCACACTGCCCAATCTAGTCATTATTGTGGGTACCTTGATAGGGGACGATAAGGATCAAATCACACTGACCAATCTAGTCATTATCATGGGAACCTTGATAGGGGTCAGTTAGGGTCAAATCACACTGACCAATCTAGTCATTATCATGGGAACCTTGATAGGGAACGATAAGGGTCAAATCACACTTACCAATCTAGTCATTATTGTGGGTAACTTGATAGGGGACGATAAGGGTCAAATCACACTGACCAATCTTTTCATTATTGTGGGTACCTTGATAGGGGTAAGTAAGGGACAAATCACACTGACCAATCTAGTCATTATTGTGGGTACCTTGATAGGGAACGATGAGGGTCAAATCACACTGACCAATCTAGTCATTATCATGGGGACCTCTCTAGGAGTAAGTAAGGGTCAAATCACACTGACCTATCTAGTCATTATCAGGGGGACCTCTCTAGGAGTAAGTAAGGGTCAAATCACACTGACCAATCATTTCATTATTGTGGGTACCTAGATAGGGTACGATAAGGGTCAAATAACAGTGACCAATCATTTCATTATTGTGGGTACCTTGATAGGGGTACGTAAGGGTCAAATCACACTGACCAATCTAGTCATTATTGTGGGTACCTTGATAGGGAACGATGAGGGTCAAATCACACTGACCAATCTAGTCATTATTGTGGGGACCTTGATAGGGGACGATAAGGGTCAAATCACACTGACCAATCATTTCATTATGGATACTTCTCTAGGGTCAATTTAAGGGTCAAATCACACTGACCAATCATTTCATTATTGTGGGTACCTTGATAGGGGTAAGTAAGGGTCAAATCACACTGACCAATCTAGTCATTATTGTGGGTACCTTGATAGGGGACGATAAGGGTCAAATCACACTGACTAATCGTTTCATTATTGTGGGTACCTTGATAGGGGATGATAAGGGTCAAATCACACTGACCAATCATTTCATTATTGTGGGTACCTAGATAGGGTACGATAAGGGTCAAATAACACTGACCAATCATTTCATTATTGTGGGTACCTTGATAGGGGACGTTAAGGGTCAAATAACACTGACCAATCATTTTATTATTGTGGGTACCTTGATAGGGGACGATAAGGATCAAATCACACTGACCAATCTAGTCATTATTGTGGGTACCTTGAAAGGGGACGATAAGGGTCAAATCACACTGACCAATCTAGTCATTATCACGGGAACCTTGATTGGGGTCAGGTAGGATCAAATCACACTGACCAATCTAGTCATTATCATGGGGATCTCGCTAGGGGTAAGTAAGGATCAAATCACACTGACCAATCTAGTCATTATCATGGGAACCTTGATAGGGGACAGTTAGGGACAAATCACACTGACCAATCTAGTCATTATCATGGGAACCTTGATAGGGGACAGTTAGGGACAAATCACACTGACCAATCTAGTCATTATCATGGGGACCTCTCTACCGGTAAGTAAGGGTCAAATCACACTGACCAATCTAGTCATTATTGTGGGTACCTTGATAGGGGACGATAAGGGTCAAATCACACTGACCAATCATTTTATTATGGACACTTCTCTAGGGTCAATTTAAGGGTCAAATTACACTGACCAATCGTTTCATTATGGATACTTCTCTTGGGTCAATTTAAGGGTCAAATCACACTGACTGATCTAGTCATTATCACGGGAACCTTGATAGGGGACGATAAGGGTCAAATCACACTGACCAATCTAGTCATTATTTTGGGTACCTTGAAAGGGGACGATAAGGGTCAAATCACACTGACCAATCTAGTCATTATCACGGGAACCTTGATAGGGGACGATAAGGGTCAAATAACACTGACCAATCATTTTATTATTGTGGGTACCTTGATAGGGGATGATAAGGGTCAAATCACACTGACCAATCTAGTCATTATCATGGGGACCTCTCTAGGGGACGATAAGGGTCAAATCACACTGACCAATCTAGTCATTATCATGGGAACCTTGATAGGGAACGATAAGGGTCAAATCACACTGACCAATCTAGTCATTATTGTGGGTACCTTGATAGGGGACGATTATGGATACTTCTCTTGGGTCAATTTAAGGGTCAAATCACACTGACCGATCTAGTCATTATCACGGGAACCTTGATAGGGGTCAGTTAGGGTCAAATCACACTGACCAATCTAGTCATTATCATGGGGACCTCTCTAGGGGACGATAAGGGTCAAATCACACTGACCAATCTAGTCATTATCATGGGAACCTTGATAGGGAACGATAAGGGTCAAATCACACTGACCAATCTAGTCATTATTGTGGGTACCTTGATAGGGGACGATTATGGATACTTCTCTTGGGTCAATTTAAGGGTCAAATCACACTGACCGATCTAGTCATTATCACGGGAACCTTGATAGGGGTCAGTTAGGGTCAAATCACACTGACCAATCTAGTCATTATCATGGGGACCTCTCTAGGGGACGATAAGGGTCAAATCACACTGACCAATCTAGTCATTATCATGGGAACCTTGATAGGGAACGATAAGGGTCAAATCACACTGACCAATCTAGTCATTATTGTGGGTACCTTGATAGGGGACGATTATGGATACTTCTCTTGGGTCAATTTAAGGGTCAAATCACACTGACCGATCTAGTCATTATCACGGGAACCTTGATAGGGGTCAGTTAGGGTCAAATCACACTGACCAATCTAGTCATTATCATGGGGACCTCTCTAGGGGACGATAAGGGTCAAATCACACTGACCAATCTAGTCATTATCATGGGAACCTTGATAGGGAACGATAAGGGTCAAATCACACTGACCAATCTAGTCATTATTGTGGGTACCTTGATAGGGGACGATTATGGATACTTCTCTTGGGTCAATTTAAGGGTCAAATCACACTGACCGATCTAGTCATTATCACGGGAACCTTGATAGGGGTCAGTTAGGGTCAAATCACACTGACCAATCTAGTCATTATCATGGGGACCTCTCTAGGGGACGATAAGGGTCAAATCACACTGACCAATCTAGTCATTATCATGGGAACCTTGATAGGGAACGATAAGGGTCAAATCACACTGACCAATCTAGTCATTATTGTGGGTACCTTGATAGGGGACGATTATGGATACTTCTCTTGGGTCAATTTAAGGGTCAAATCACACTGACCGATCTAGTCATTATCACGGGAACCTTGATAGGGGTCAGTTAGGGTCAAATCACACTGACCAATCTAGTCATTATCATGGGGACCTCTCTAGGGGACGATAAGGGTCAAATCACACTGACCAATCTAGTCATTATCATGGGAACCTTGATAGGGAACGATAAGGGTCAAATCACACTGACCAATCTAGTCATTATTGTGGGTACCTTGATAGGGGACGATTATGGATACTTCTCTTGGGTCAATTTAAGGGTCAAATCACACTGACCGATCTAGTCATTATCACGGGAACCTTGATAGGGGTCAGTTAGGGTCAAATCACACTGACCAATCTAGTCATTATCATGGGGACCTCTCTAGGGGACGATAAGGGTCAAATCACACTGACCAATCTAGTCATTATCATGGGAACCTTGATAGGGAACGATAAGGGTCAAATCACACTGACCAATCTAGTCATTATTGTGGGTACCTTGATAGGGGACGATTATGGATACTTCTCTTGGGTCAATTTAAGGGTCAAATCACACTGACCGATCTAGTCATTATCACGGGAACCTTGATAGGGGTCAGTTAGGGTCAAATCACACTGACCAATCTAGTCATTATCATGGGGACCTCTCTAGGGGACGATAAGGGTCAAATCACACTGACCAATCTAGTCATTATCATGGGAACCTTGATAGGGAACGATAAGGGTCAAATCACACTGACCAATCTAGTCATTATTGTGGGTACCTTGATAGGGGACGATTATGGATACTTCTCTTGGGTCAATTTAAGGGTCAAATCACACTGACCGATCTAGTCATTATCACGGGAACCTTGATAGGGGTCAGTTAGGGTCAAATCACACTGACCAATCTAGTCATTATCATGGGGACCTCTCTAGGGGACGATAAGGGTCAAATCACACTGACCAATCTAGTCATTATCATGGGAACCTTGATAGGGAACGATAAGGGTCAAATCACACTGACCAATCTAGTCATTATTGTGGGTACCTTGATAGGGGACGATTATGGATACTTCTCTAGGGTCAATTTAAGGGTCAAATCACACTGACCGATCTAGTCATTATCAGGGGAACCTTGATAGGGGTCAGTTAGGGTCAAATCACACTGACCAATCTAGTCATTATCATGGGCACTTTTTCTAGGGGTAAGTTAAGGTCAAATCACATTGACCATTTAGTCATTATCATTAAAAATTCATTAATCAATATGAAAATGAAGAAGATGGGTACTTCTCTAGGGGTACAATTAAGGCCATATTAAATCCCAGAGCTATCTAGTCATTATCATGAATATATCTCTAGCGTAACTGGTAAGTCGGTAATCAAAACTACGCTGACCCATCTAGTCATAATGAAACATAGAAAGGTGTTTTTAAAGGTAACAATTTTTTATAAGAATATTTTCTACCTATTCCTGATAGGTGCAGCCATTTGCTGGTATTGTGGATACAGTTAGATGGACAACCCCAAGAGTTCTGTTCAACATGGAGGCTGTGGGGCCGTTCAGGAATAGTAAACGTTCTAAGGATGTATTCGCTGAAGGTAAACGAACATATAGTAAACATGCTCAGGATGTGGTCGCTAAAGGTAAACAAATGTAAAGTAAATGTACCAAGGAATTGTTCCTTGAAGGTAAACAAACCTAAAGTAAACGTGCCAAGGATGTGGTCGCTAAGGGTAAACAAATGTAAAGTAAATTTGCCAAGGATGTGGTCTCTGAAGGTAAAACCAGCAGTTCTACCTTATCAATAATAAAAAGTTTTCTCAGCAGTCCTGAATATATGTGATGTTTATCCAATCTGTGCTGTGTAATATACATTGAAACATGTTGTAACACCAACAGGTGACCTGATCAAGAATATGCAGAACTTCACAGAGATGGTGGGCTGGAAAACTGATATAGAAGACCTCATCATTAAGTCTGAGGGAGTTCTCAAAATCGTGAGTTGAAGAAATATCTCGCACATAAGTGAACATTATATGTATGTTTATGTTAATCTTCCTGCTGTCTTTATACTGCTGTTGTGTCTATCTATACTAATAGTCGTTAAGTTTTGAGAAAGTGTTAACAAACATCATCTTGTGTATGAGCTTGGATTCCAAACTTCTGGGGTTAAAACAAGGTCACTGTTACTATAAATGGAATATTGGCATCAAATCTCCTCAGGCGTAATTTCTTTTTCGATTGTCACGAAACTTAATATACATTTTCATTTGACAACATTGACTTCGAGACTCTATACACCTAACATTTCTGATCACTTCCAATTTCTGAGGGAATAAGTATTACCTGTGATACCTTCTTTGTTTCCTGTTCATCCTATCTCATTCTGATGTATATCTGGTAGGTTTATATCTGGTTTGTTATGTTTTCAGTGTGACCAGGAGTATTTGAAAAATACTGCAAAGCGGATGATGGAATTCAGGAGAAAAAAGCCACCAGCTCCAGTAAGAAACACGTTTTTCCGAGCAAGAGCTATGGACTCTGATTCATCATCGGAGACCGAATCGGATGACTCTAGTGATTCTTCCTCGGACGATGACCTCCCTCGTCGCAGAAGAAACAAAAACATGGCATGGAATCGGACACGAAAACCAACAGATTATGGTAAAAATGGCATATCTAACAGTATTCATAGCAATGGAGCACGTCGTAACGGTGTTCCTGTTGACTTGAGAACTAAGATAAATAATAACAACAATAATGAAGGATCAAGAAACTACAGCACAGCATCTGCCCCAAATTCCACGAGAATAGACAAAAACGTGGCTAACGGTGTCACGAACAGTAAGGTGCCAGCCATTATGATGCGGAAAAAGGCTGGTACACCAACTGGCACAAGTTCAAATCCCGGTATAAAGTTAGAGAGTGAAACAGGATCTGTTCCAAATAGTACTGCAGGAGTCTCCAAGAAAATGCAGGCCAGAATTCGTAGGAATACAACAAACAAATTATTTGGTACAAAAACTCCAACTGGCACAAGTTCTGGTTCAAAAACGCCAACAAATTCAGGTTCAAAAACACCTGTCCATTCCAATAACAATAAGGACAAGCGGCTACGACCTTTGACAGGTAGAGGTAAATTTTCTCCAAAGCCTGGCGCAGAAAACAATAACAAACTGACCAGTGAAAACACGAAGAGTGTCAAACAGGAAAATTCTGATGTAGAAGCAAAAGAAAACAAAGCGATAGTGAATGATGGTAAGCCTCCTCGACCCAAAAAACCTCCAGTCACCAAGGAACTCAACTCTCTAAATGCAAAGCCTTATGGGTTTGCAACTCCACGGAAGCTTCCTGCTCGACCCACTGTGGCTTCCAATGTTATCGGGGGGCCAAAGCCTCAACCACCAAATTTTTATCAGGACATTTTATTAGGAAAGACAGATACTCCCAAAATATCTTATCGGCATCGGTTACAGCCGTCTAATACATACGATGCCCGTATATTCTCTTACAGAGGGGTGATTTCATCCTCCTCGGAGGCAGAATCTGACAGTGACTCTTCAGACTCAAGGTGACACACCAGTATTTAGTGGATTGAATTAAAAACTGACAATTTCACAAGAGGAATTATATAATCCCTCACTCTCCCCTTCCCTCATTGAATGTTTTGTGCATCATGCAAAAAACATAAGTAAAAGTTGTTCTGGTGTGAAGTTAACATAGATTCAATAGCGATGCCGCTTTATGTTAAATGTGACAGAAATGTATGTGCAGCAATTTAAAGAGTGCTTCCTGACAATGTATGTTTTACCTCTACAGAACGCATGTCTGATAATAAGCCAACCCATGTGCTCTCATTTTACAGAGGTTCTTTTGTTCATGAAGAGTTAACCTTTGTGTGTTATGAGCCCAGCACAAATTTTACAACCTTTGTAAGGATTAGGCCATTTTGAGCTTAAAATTGGTAAAAGTGTGACAATATATTTACCTGAACTGCACAGGTAAAGACGACTAAACTTATACATGTTATATCGATGGATGTATCGGAGATCAGAACCAAACAGAAATTATCTGGTACTGATGCTGACATTTGTACGGGTACAAGTGTGAACATATATATACAGCTTTCATGTCCTTTAGACATTATCTAGACATCATCTTATCATCATCTAGTCATAATGTAGTGTTGGGGCAAATGTTTGGCGAAGATCACGTTCTTTTGATTGTTTATCTGTTTTTCTTATGTTTTAGTAAGATACCAAATGTTGTACAATTTCAAAAGGAATCATTCCTTATTAAGAGTCTCAACCGTATTTTGAAAATGACATTGTGTATCATTTAAACTGAATGCTGCTTAATCCAGTAACCTGTATAATCTGGACATTCAAATAAGATTTAATGCATTGCTTTAGTAATTGAATCTGTGGATCCAAAAACCTGTCTATTATGAACAGATATGTCGCTGTACTATTTGGTTATTTAAGATGTATATATGACAACTGAACTGGTTTTCTCCCATCACTACAATCTAGTAGACGTAGATTGTGCGATGTTAAAACACTGTCAGGCTGGGCTGGTTCTAAGTTTACTGTATGGACAGCTTAGTCCTCTGTCCATCACTCAGCCTGGTGAAGGAGTTGGGTGATATTTCTCTGAAAATTAAAAGCTCATTGTCAGTATTAACTGATCATGTGACAGGTTTAGTTTCATGTCAGCATTGGTTTAAAGGTGTCTAGATTGTAAGATTGTCTTGATCCTCAATATTTTGTTTTAAAAATGTAGCCATTGAAAGCTAAATGATACATTACTATTTTTACTATAATATTCTTGAGCATTTACCATATGTATAATAACCATCACATTGTTATAACTACACCGAGTTTACAGTAAGTATGTATGACTGTTAAAATCATGTAGAAATATTGTTACTATGTTGATAGATTTTATCGTTGTTGTTTATATATTTGATGCCTCTGTGATGTTTTATCCGCCTTCCCTCCCTTTGTGCCATTATGTAAACATATCTGATCAGAACTCGACTGCTACATACTACCGTAACTTCTACCTACTGCTGTCATGATTGGTATACTCCCCAAGGTTCACATCCTAATGATTTGGAACACAAAGCTTCTGATTGGTTCAAGCCACCAAAATGTGAAACCTTATCTGGAGAATCCACATCATGATTGGTATACTCCCCAAGGTTCACATCCTAATGATTTGGAACACAAAGCTTCTGATTGGTTCAAGCCACCAAAATGTGAAACCTTATCTGGAGAATCCACATCATGATTGAAGCATGTGTTTTATATTTTGCTTTGTTAAGTAGAATAAAGCATTAGATAATTTTTAATTGTACAAACTTTTATAGAAAGAATTGATCATTATAGACAAGTTAACTGCTAGGTAAGTGCATTTATATGACCTTTGTGTACAGGTTAAATATAATGTGATGTATACCAAGGCTAGTCTAAGGGTACATGCAAGACAATGACAGAATGTGTATGAAGTCCCTTTAACTCATTCACCCCTAAAATTTCGTAATGGACTATTCCAACCTTTGAATTGGAAGAGTTCAAGTGTGTCTTCATGGGTGAATGAGTTAAGTGTGCATTTATATATAAATTAGTGACCTCCATTAGACATTCAGCTAAACTTCCTGTTACTGTATCGGCCATAATCTATGTCTACCATGAGTATTTTAAGAACTGATTTATGTTGTTTTATAACCCTTTCATCCCTATGTAACTTTAGTAGACTCTACTATGCATTAATCTGGTAAAGTCCTTTATGGTCTACAGTGGTGAAAGGGTTAAGTGTAGTAGTTTTTTTTACAATTTTCTGTCAAAACATATATTTATGTTCCTTCATTATTTTGTTTTACAAAATATTGAAAAGTACTGTAACTCTTGGGTTAAAGCTCTGCCAGGCTTGATCAAAATCAAATATTAAAGTTCTGATACATGTAATTATACTTCTGTTCTTCAAATTGCATTTATAAACAATGCTCTGTATATTTTTCAGGATTTGACATTTCTTGCTACTTAGACTGTCATCGACTGTGATACCTTTATATGTGATAAGTTACCAAGTTGTAAAAAGATACTTCACTATACTGGACCTCATAAACACCCTATTAAACTACCAGGTGATTGAGTATGGACCACCCATGTAGGTACCGCTACATAATGACATGATTGTAAACAATATCTACCGGTATATGGATGTGTATGGTAACTGTTTATTGTAAATAAATAGAACAGGGTTTCAAGGAACCTGTAAGTAACTTAGATGTGGAAAGTGTCAAAGGGGGACAGATGTGGAAAGGGGGTACACATCACAATAACAAACCACATGGGAGGCAGGGAGGGAGGGAGGGGTGCACAATACAATAACAATATTGTCACAATGGGGAAATACAACATTGGTATAAGGATTAACACTCGTTGACCTTCTCACTTAAGATAAATATATATATACATATAAAAATACACCCATTAAGTTTAAACTTTGTTAATTGTTATTTTAAGTGCTCCTTGCCAGTGTGGTAAAATTATAGAAGATACATACGTGTATGATCATAAAGCACACTGTCCATTAACTCACTACTCCCATTCAACATTGATCCATCTTAAAAGAATTGTTAACCACTAACAAGTACTGAAATTAGTTTAAATTTACAATTTTTGGAATTTCGGTGATTTGGCTGGATATAATGTCTGTCTTTCACAACCTCTGTTGCAAAACTGGTTCCAGGACTTCGGCAGGAGGCAACAGTACAGAAGTACCAGTCCTGTGAAACCAACCTTCTGGTCCTAAAAATCAGAAGTACTAGTCCTGTGAAACCAACCTTCTGGTCCTAAAAAACAGAAGTACCAGTCCTGTGAAACCAACCTTCCGGTCCTAAAAAAACAGAAGTACCAGTCCTGTGAAACCAACCTTCTGGTCCTAAAAAAACAGAAGTACCAGTCCTGTGAAACCAACCTTCCGGTCCTAAAAAAAACAGAAGTACCAGTCCTGTGAAACCAACCTTCTGGTCCTAAACAATGGTCTCGAAAGTCTGGCTCCCGGTCGTTGTTAAGAATAAGTTTTAAATTCTGCTGAAGATATTTGGCCTTACATTAGAATTATTTCAAAAGATATATTTCTACTGTAATACATTGTATATATGGGACACTGTAATACATTGTATACATGTGACACTGTAATACATTGTATATATCGGACACTGTAATACATTGTATATATGGGACAATGTAATACATTGTATACATGGGACTCTGTAATACATTGTATATATGGGACACTGGAATACATTGTATATATGGGACAATGTAATACATTGTATACATGGGACACTCTAATACATTGTATACATGGGACACTGTAATACATTTTATATATGGGACACTGTAATACATTGTATATACGGGACACTGTAATACATTGTATATATGAGACACTGTAATACATTGTATACATGGGAAACTGTAATAAATTGTATACATGGGACACTGTAAAACATAGTATACATGGGACACTGTAATACATTGAATATATGGGACACTGTAATACATTGTATATATGGGACAATGTAATACATTGTATACATGGGACACTGTAAAACATTGTATACATGGGACACTGTAATACATTGTATATATGGGACACTGTAATACATTGTATACATGGGACAATGTTGGTAAGGTGCATATACTTGTTAAAGATTAACTTGTTTATTGAATATAATTATCAGATATGTTTTCCTCCAAATATATCTTTATAAATATTGATAGAAACGTTAACTTATTTGACCTTTTTAAAATTGTTGACCATTGTTGCAGATATGTGTATTTATTATACCTGAGTTCTATATCAAATGTTGACATTAAAATATCAACTACCAAGATATGTTTTGTCAGCGTTTTTATTTCATCAGTAGCATGTATTTGTATTCAATTGAAAATGCCATAATCAGTTTACAAGGTGCTGCCAAGGATGGTCAAGGACGCATGGTAGTACATCAGTTGACATATTACAACTGTCAAATCATGGCGACATTCATGAATATCTTCTTTAGGTCTGTTCTTAAACTACTGAATTTACCATAAGTAACTAAGATGTAGTAAAACTATTTGCTATTGTTAGAATATATCACCATTGTTCATGCTATAGTGCTTTGAGGAAAAGATGGCCACTGACATCAGACTTGATTCTATCCTCATAATCCCATGGTCATGCTCTACAACAGCACAGGAGATATGTTATATCAAGCTCAACACCTGGGATTCTATAAGTGTCTGGGTACTGATATAATGAACTTTTATTGGTGATATCACACCATCACTTCCTGTAAGACAGAGGAAATGTATTGGTTTTCCATTGAATACCATATATTTTTCGCAAGTATGGCAGAATACCAATATATTTTCACAGGTGCAAAGAAAAAATGGACAATCGATATATTCTGCCATACGAGTGAAATATACCATTTACGATACTCGTCAAGAAAACCATTACCTTTTTATCAGTATTTACAACTATGAAATAGTTACTAAATCAAAACTGTGGCATAATCAATTGCAATCTTTGGTGCAATATTCTACCAATGTCATGAGTGATAACAAGGCTGTTCACAACTTTGAATGGACTCATGATTTCTGCTATATCGGTATATCTGGCCAGATCTGCTTATGTAATGTTATCAGTTGTGCAAGTTCAGTAAATATCTTGCTGTACATAGACATACCAAAACAACTACTGTGGCTTCATCTGCATCTGAACTGAAAATCACATGCTTTGAATGCAGTGAAAGTACAATGAGAAAGATATAATTTTCATCATGTTGAAAGGAAGCAATTTATGACATCACTGGAAAAATGTAATAATTATAGATATGGCACCTGTAATATCTGTATGTTGTGTAGTTTATATTGCACACACCATTATATACATACATAGTCATACATCATATAGCTCATGTCACACACAGCCATTCTATACATACATATTCATACGTCATAGCTCATGTCACACACAGCCATTCTATACATACATATTCATACGACATAGCTCATGTCACACACAGCCATCCTATACATACATATTCATACGTCGTATAACTCATGTCACACACAACCATTCTATACATACATATTCATACGTCGTATAACTCATGTCACACACAACCATTCTATAAATACATATTCATACGTCATAACGCATGTCACACACAGCCATTCTATACATACATATTCATACGTCGTATAACTCATGTCACACACAACCATTCTATACATACATATTCATACGTCATAACGCATGTCACACACAGCCATTCTATACATACTTCTACTTCTAAATGGTACTGACCAACTTCAACAATTTGAAGATAAAATGTCAGACAAGGAGTGAAACATGGAAAGAGATTGTTTTTAANGGGTATAGTTCGAGGGAAGAATGATGCCTTTCTGGTCTGGGTTTTTGAGTGGGGAATTTGATACGAAAACTGGTGGTTTGTTCGGGATTTTCTAACTGTAGGGATTAATCTGTCTGATTTTACGATAGCGACTTTCTGGTTTACAATGTTATGAAGCATGGTCAGACGAGCATCTCTACGTCTATCTGCTAGAGGGCGCAGCTTTAGGTGGTCCAACATTTCTGACACACTGGAGGTACGATGGTTGTACCTGTGCTTATTGAGCACATAGCGCGCTGCCCTTCGCTGGACCATTTCCAACTTGTCAATATTTGTTTGGGTGTGAGGGTCCCATACTGTACAGGCATACTCAAGTGATGGTCGAACTAATGATTTGTATGCCTGTACTTTGGCTGATGTTGAGCCAATTTTAAGATTTCGTCTTAAAAAGCCTAGTGTAGAATTTGCTTTTGGGCAGATAGTATTTATATGTGAATCCCATTTAAGGTCAGATGATAGTGTTACACCCAGATACTTGGCCTGACTAAGATGTTCCAGTATGTGTCCATACATATGCATACGTCAAATAACTCATGTCACACACAACCATTATATATATACATATATATATATAATGTAATATCCATATCCATACTAGATACCTGCATCCATACTGAAGTCACATTTATAAAGCATTCCATATACATATTTTATATATATTTGGTATTATAATGTTCATAGATGGTAAAAACCAAATTGGCACATCTGATTGTTCACAAGGTTGTCAGTATCACAATTTGCTGGTTAAGACTTGAGGATCTGTAAAGAAAGCAAAAGACATGTAAACAGGACATGTGACACTTATCTATTATTTACTGCTCAGTCCTCATCCTACGTCATTAATCAGTACACTACAACACTTGTCTTTTATTTACTGCTCAGTTCTCATCCTAAGTCATTAATAAGTACACTACAAAACTTGTCTATTATTTACTGGTCAGTTCTCATCCTATGTCATTAATAAGTACACTACAAAACTTGTCTATTATTTACTGGTCAGTCCTCATCCTACGTCATTAATAAGTACACCACAAAACTTGTCTATTATTTACTGGTCAGTCTTCATCCTAAGTCATTAATAAGTACACTACAAAACTTGTCTATTATTTACTGCTCAGTCCTCATCGTAAGTCATTAATAAGTACACTACAACACTTGTCTATTATTTACTGGTCAGTCTTCATCCTAAGTCATTAATAAGTACACCACAACACTTGTCTATTATTTACTGCTCAGTCCTCATCCTAAGTCATTAATAAGTACACTACAAAACTTGTCTATTATTTACTACTCAGTCCTCATCGTAAGTCATTAATAAGTACACTATAACACTTGTCTATTATTTACTGGTCAGTCTTCATCCTAAGTCATTAATAAGTACACTACAAAACTTGTCTATTATTTACTGGTCAGTCCTCATCCTAAGTCATTAATAAGTACACTACAAAACTAACACATACCTACTAGCAAAATACATGTGAATTTTAAGAATTTGGTACTTAAATATCCCTCAACAGCAAATTTCTGTGAGTAGATTTTTTCTATTTTCTATTAAAAACACAATATTGATAATATCTGATAAGTGACATTAAGCGGCGTGATATTAAGTGAATTGTTCTGTATGAACAAAGATGTTGTGGGAAAGATACCCTTATAGTCCTTTAGAATCCTTGGTTGTCTTTCACTGTAAGTATCTGTTTTAATTCAGTTCATTAATGTTACACTTAATGAAATGAAGGATTTGTCAGTGAGTTTCATAGTCAACAAGTGAGATTTTCAATCATTTATATTACTGCACTTAGAAATGATTGGTTAATTATCCGGAATAGCTGTTACAGGTTGTTCTTAATTACCTTGTTTAAATTTCTCCATTGTCCACAGGCTGTGTATGACTGGATTTCTAACGCAGAGGGATCGCAGAACCGATTTGTCTGTAACAGAAAACATGACATTACTCTCCAGGAATCGGTCACAGTGGTAATCTATAGATGTGGTTTATAGTTAGGTTACCACTGTCTGGCTACTTGTTTACTTTGTAGAAATGAATCACTCCAACTGACCATTCTTATTTCAATGTCTATGTGGACTTTTTGTAGAAAACTTAATTCTATATATATTGTCCTCTCAAAACAAACCAGAGATAAAACCTTTGATTGGTCAATAATCTCCAGGGTACATTTACAGTGATTAAGTTTTGTTTAATCCTTCTATAAACTTGACACTCTATCAGGACTCCAAGCAAGCAATAATACGCTTCATTTATCTAGAATATGGAGCAAGTTTTACAAATCTTAAACATTAAGTTGTCAGTATGCTCTGTCCTCACCCCACTGCCGACACAGAAACCTAATATGTGGGAAACTTGTTCATTATATCTCTGGGACATGTACTTAAATTCAGACGCTGTAAAAGTTTATTTCACTTTTGTGAACCTGAATGTGAATTACATCAGACTTGTTACCCTGAATGTAAAGAACTTTGACCTTTGACCAACGATGTACATGACTGCTACGTAAATAACCTCAACATGTATGACCTTTACACAGTATCAATTACCATTACATCTGAATCAAAATTTCAATTACCTTGACCTATGCCCACTATGTCAACAACATTGACCTTTGACCCACAATGTCAATGACACTGACCTACGACACACAATACAAATCAATTACCATTACATCTGAATCAAAATTTCAATTACCTTGACCTATGACCCACAATGTCAACAACATTGACCTTTGACCCACAATGTCAATGACACTGACCTCCGACACATAATACAAATCAATTACCATTACATCTGAATCAAAATTTCAATTACCTTGACCTATGCCCACAATGTCAACAACATTGACCTATGACCCACAATGTCAATGACACTGACCTACGACACATAATACAAATCAATTACCATTACATCTGAATCAAAATTTCAATTACCTTGACCTATGCCCACAATGTCAACAACATTGACCTATGACCCACACTGACCTACAACACATAATACAAATTAAAGTTATATGGATGACAAATTCTAATTACTCACCCCCAGACTCTATGTAGGAGTCCAGTACAGGGATGATGGTTGCTATGGGAACACTCATGTTGATATGAGGATAACTGGCTCCTGTTGATGTATCTCTGTAATAAAATACATTAATTTAACATTGAGGAAACGTAAAAACATGCATATATATTTTAAATTCAGGATGATTCACTACTACAGATAAAGCAGATTTTTCCTTCCACCATCCTAGAAATATCAACTTTTAGGCTACATTCGCGTATCACGGTTGAAACGGTAAAGGTGGCACAGAAATAGTCAACGATAAACGAACACACTTGGACCGTTCTATAAGCAGAGCTAAAAATGCACAGTTTTGGAGAATAAAAACAATGTATCAAGTATGTTACGCCCTCCTTTCACGCGTCCACTGAATTACATAACGAATCTTAAAAACTACACGTGGCTTGACATTGTTTGAGAAAGAAATAACGCAAACTAGCAATAGTCAGCATTTTAGTTTCAGTCAGGTACATCTGGACCCCTCAATCTACACATGCCGAATTTTCCTGAGGTCAGCCTCGGTTCAGATCTGTGCCTGTCGTTTTCTTTACAGGTTCACCCGGTTCAACCATTTCAACTGGATACGCGAATGTAGCCTTACAAACTCAAGTGACCGTTCATTTCCAAGGTCAATACCGTTTGCTCTAAAACTTCAAAAGGTCCCTGTTACAGAAGAATGAATGCCATATGATTCTTGAGAAGAAATTATTTGAATGACAGAAAGACCTTAGCTGTACTTCTATTGTAAACATACTTACTTCAGCTGTATTCTTAGTCTGGCTCCACCTGATGCAGTATTTTGTATACAGCACTATTACAATTTAAAGTCAATAGTTGAGATGTATTCTTGGCCAGTATGGCCACTAAAATATCAATGAGCTAACAGGAGTGAATTTACAGTATTTTAAATGTATCAAAACATTTTTCAAAAACTTTCATTTGGAAGAAATGTTTGTTCCTGTATTAGGGAGATTACATATTATTACAACTGACAACATGTGATCCTATACTAGAACAGAGATTACCTGGCATTACAGACGACAAGGCCCACCAACCTGCCCTCCATGTCCACCACCGCACCACCACTGGCCCCGGCCTGTACAGCACATGTTGTCTGAAAACAATAACGCCTATACTTGTAAATGTTATGAACTTTTTACATCAGCAAAATTTTTCCCACAAAAGGAAGTACCGAACGGAATAAACACAGGGTTGAACCTCTGACCTTATAAAAAAACATGCTCCACCAACAGAGCTGTCCAACTAGTGATGGTCTTTTGCTTTGCCTCTTTATCAATTTTTTATATAAAAATTCACAAGAAAAATTCATGCACTGTCAAACCCTTTCATTATTTTATTCAAATCACCTGCAAGCTTGAAATATATTTCAGGCCAAAATTTAGTGCCGTATTACATAATAGAAAAAGGCCCGGAACATTTGTGAGTATTACAAATTAAGGAACACATTTCTGTTACCTGTATCATCACTGGTTGATTTCGGACTCGTATGACCTTTGATACAATTCCCTTGGTTACAGTTGGTTCAAGGTCAAATCCTCTGCCAAACAAAGCATGACCTATCACTAATACAGATTCCCCTGTAAAAACAATATTCAGTTGATATACTTATATGATAGAGGAATCTTTGGCATGATGAGTTTTTAACTGGATTAGTTGTCACTGGATAGTGGGATAACTGGATTAGTTGTCACCGGATAGTGGGATAACTGGATTAGTTGTCACCGGATAGTGGTATAACTGGATTAGCTGTCACCAGATAGTGGGATAACTGGATATGTTGTCACTGGTTAGTGGGATAACTGGATTAGTTGTCGCCAGTTAATGGGATAACTGGATTAGTTGTCGCCAGATAATGGGATAACTGGATTAGTTGTCACTGGATAGTGGGATAAATGGATTAGTTGTCACCGGATAGTGGGATAAATGGATTAGTTGTCACCGGATAGTGGGATAAATGGATTAGTTGTCACCGGATAGTGGTATAACTGGATTAGTTGTCACCAGATAGTGGGATAACTGGATATGTTGTCACTGGATAGTGGGATAACTGGATTAGTTGTCGCCAGATAATGGGATAACTGGATTAGTTGTCACTGGATAGTGGGATAACTGGATAAGTTGTCACTGGATAGTGGGATAAATGGATTAGTTGTCACTGGATAGTGGTATAACTGGATTAGTTGTCACCGGATAGTGGGATAACTGGATATGTTGTCACTGGATAGTGGGATAACTGGATTAGTTGTCGCCAGATAATGGGATAACTGGATTAGTTGTCACTGGATAGTGGGATAAATGGATTAGTTGTCACTGGATAGTGGTATAACTGGATTAGTTGTCACCGGATAGTGGGATAACTGGATAAGTTGTCACCGGATAGTGGGATAAATGGATTAGTTGTCACCGGATAATGGGATAACTGGATTAGTTGTCACCGGATAGTGGGATAACTGGATTAGTTGTCACCAGATAATAATAATAATAATTGGAGGTTCTTATATACCGCTTTATCACAACCTAGTTTGTAGGTCGTCTCAAAGGGGTTCACAAATTATTATCCGTGGTTATAGGGCCTTTGCAACCAGCCAATAATTTCTCAACTCCCTGGGGAGCATACAGCCGCAGCTGCCATTTCGGCGCTAACAGCATTCTTTCAACAATTCTAGCACTGCCCAACCACATTCTCATTTACAGCTGAACAGACTGGAACAAGCAGAGTATAAAAGTATCTTGCTCAAAGATACAACACATTGCCGTGTCGTGGCGCTAACCCGCAACCCTTCGGTCACGAGCCCGGCGTCCTACCACTGGACTACCGTGCCTTCTAACAATGGGATAACTGGAATAGTTATCACCAGATAGTGTGATAACTGGATTAGTTGTCACCAGATAGTGTGATAACTGGATTAGTTGTCACCAGATAGTGTGATAACTGGATTAGTTGTCACCAGATAGTGTGATAACTGGATTAGTTGTCACCAGATAGTGTGATAACTGGATTAGTTGTCACCAGATAGTGTGATAACTGGATTAGTTGTCACCAGATAGTGTGATAACTGGATTAGTTGTCACCAGATAGTGTGATAACTGGATTAGTTGTCACCAGATAGTGTGATAACTGGATTAGTTGTCACCAGATAGTGTGATAACTGGATTAGTTGTCACCAGATAGTGTGATAACTGGATTAGTTGTCACCAGATAGTGGGATAACTGGATTAGTTGTCACCAGATAGTGTGATAACTGGATTAGTTGTCACCAGATAGTGGGATAACTGGATTAGTTATCACCAGATAGTGGGATAACTGGATTAGTTATCACCAGATAGTGGGATAACTGGATTAGTTATCACCAGATAGTGGGATAACTGGATTAGTTATCACCAGATAGTGGGATAACTGGATTAGTTATCACCAGATAGTGTGATAACTGGAATAGTTGTCACCAGATAGTGTGATAATTGGATTAGTTGTCACCAGATAGTGTGATAACTGGATTAGTTGTCACCAGATAGTGGGATAACTGGATTAGTTGTCACCAGATAGTGGGATAACTGGAATAGTTGTCACCAGATAGTGGGATAACTGGAATAGTTGTCACCAGATAGTGGGATAACTGGAATAGTTGTCACCGGATAGAAGGATAACTGGATTAGTTGTCATAATTAGTTCTTGTAACAATGAACTTTGGAAAGTTTGGTCGAGCACATATTCTTATCATGATATACCAAAAAAAACAAGAAATACCTTTTCACACTACATCACTATTTTAAAAATTCTAAATTTTCTTAATTTTAGTTTTCATAGTTTTAGTTTTCATAGTTTTACTATTTCCCTAAATATACCCTGACAAAATGCCTAACACATTACCTTGTCTGAGTGTGCCTGTCCTTCTGACCTTGATACCTGGCTCGGAGGTACTTGTCTTCTGTTCCAGCAGGATTCCAAGGTCAAACTGCTGACCCATAGGGACACGGTACACCACGTCCGCTCGGTAAGGTGTCTGGACGGGCTTGTACAGCACCTCCACTGTATATACAAATATATACAATTTTACGGATGTCATTGTAAATCAAATCAAACAAAGTGCTTCAATTATTCCTTATCCCGACCTTAAAGAAATGTTTGTTTTCAGAGGTCCAAGAAAAATAATCATTTACCTATTGTTGCAAAGCTAGCTAGCTTATATTATCTCAATATCTCCATTGACTCCACCTCATCTAACCGGATTAATTTCAAAATATTATCCCTTGATTAAGATCATAAAGTAAAGCGAGTAAGCAAAGTAAATTAAAGCAGAAGACTTCATTAATCTCTAATATTCTCTTTCAATGGAGGAAATGTTTTGCATTGACATCTTTTAATAAAGAAGAGGTTAAAAGCAATAAGGCTGAAGATATACATAATATGTCATTTCTTATACAGTAGTAATAATATCTGTTTACCTGAGGTGGGATCACCTTTGCCGATCACATGACTACAGGTGAGAATGACCCTTTGACCTTGCTTGTTGTGGCCCACACAGATGCCGGAGCCCCAGTTTCCATTGACAGATATGTGTGGGATGTTGACTTGAACAGATTTGATGACCTTTGACATAGTCCCTGTGTTGGTAAAGGACAAGAATTAGATTAGGTTAACAATATTTACATGGTCAATTGTTGTAACTATATAAGTATATTTTTCCAAATTAAACAAAAAAAAAAAAAAAATGGATACAGGACCCAAGACTTTGTTATAATCTTGTCATGCAGTACTTACATTGACTTCCATGTGTGTTGACTGAATAGTAAGTGTCATCGGACCATTTCAATGGCAGGTCGTTCAGACTGTCAAGAATCTCAGACAAGGAGGCAGCTAACGATAGTCCAACCCATTCGTTATTCTTCCAACACAAAGTAGCTATCATAATACCCATCAAAACTCTGAAACAAAACACAATGGTCATTTCAATACCCATTAAAACTCTGAAACAAAACACAGTGGTCATCTCAATACCCATTAAAACTCTGAAACAAAACACAATGGTCATTTCAATACCCATTAAAACTCGGAAACAAAACACAATGGTCATTTCAATACCCATTAAAACTATACTACAAAACATGGGAGAGCCCATCACAACGCTTTGAAACAAGACCAATCTGGTACAAATCTAAGGCATCTATTTATTTGTGATTTGAGAGATGATCGAAACGGGTCCAACATGAATTTTAACCAGGGAACTCTAACTCAAAAATGTTCTGGCTCTGGTAAGTTCTTCATACTACGGACATCCGAAACTTTAACACTATTAACCCTTTCACCCCTATGTAACTGAAATAAACTCTACCATTCATTGTTCTGGAAGTCCATTATGGTCTATAGTGGTGAAAGGGTTAAATCATAACATTCCTTTCAAATCTTTCCTATTGAGTTCACAATTCATTTTTTATTTTTAAAAAAAACATTTTTAACACTATATTTTACTTCTTTAATTTAACACTGAACTCCAAATTAAAAAAAAAAACATGTTACGACTGAGAATTTTTTTCGAGGTAAAGAACTCTTGTGAAAAGCAGAGCCTCATTAACTACTCTTTAGTCCCTGTTCCTAATTTAAGTCTTCTCCCAACACTGCACTGCTTACATCTGAGGTATGTAGTATCTCTTTGCCAAATACCACAGTAGCTTAGAACAAATTAATACAGTTGATACTCTACCGAAAATCAACTTCTTCTGCATCCAACATGACTATCCAACAAACTCCATAGCAATGGCATATACATATCTGTGTAGTAGCAATGGGATACACAAAACCACATGCTTCAAATTGTTTGAAATTTTAAAGGAAGTTTCGATCTGCACCTCCTCAGAATGTCAAAAACGTTTGACACCATCTGGGAACATTATCACATAGCCCGAATTTCCTCTGGCCACGACACTAAGACTTATGACATTTTGACAGAGAGATGTCTGGTCATCTCTCTGTCAAAATGTCTAAGTCTGGTGTCGGAGCCAGAGGAAACTCCGGCTACTGGAAACAATGTTCAAAGGTTACTGTTTTGCCTCAGTCATTCCTAAGTACTTTTTAACAAATATTGATCCCAGGAAAAAATTTGCAATAATACTTGAAATCATTTACAATGGACCATCCCTGAATTCAAACCCTAAACCGCTGTACTCTAGGATACAATCTACCCACTGTTTTCACTTATTTTACATTATAACATGTATTAATGTACTGTATAAAGAATTCGTCTTTTACCGGTGTTTTCCATCACAGAAGTAGAGGGCGCCACCTTCTGCTCCTGGGATACACCTGGCATCTGTCAGAATCAAGATGTTGTTTTTTCCTGATAGGTTACTTATGATTCCCTGGCTGCGGCAGTTGAAGAAAATCTCTGGACTCACACTCCCGAATGGAGTAGACTGGATCTCTACACGGTCCCCTTGTTGATTGTTGACAGATAAGCGAACATCTAGAACACTCTCAAATGGTTTCCAGTTCCTTATTTTCAATAATAGAAAACATGGAAGCAAACTGTAATATTCAGGACTGTTCTGATTTCTCTTCTCCCTTTTTTCGTTCCCCTGATCAACATCAGTCAAGTTTTCCACAAAGTCCCAACTGCCAGCAGGTAATAATTTTGAAAGAACTTGTCTTAATGACCAACATTGAAAAATACACTGGACAGAAGCATTATGTATCACAAATCCAGGACTACTTTTCAGCTCACTATTAAGAAAATTTGGTGCAAGCTTATTGTTTAAAGGTTGAGACAGTTCATTTTCCTCTAAATTTTCCACTTGAGTTTTTTGAAACAACACTTCAACTTCAAATCGAGACAGTTGTTTTGATTGAGAAAAATATTCTTCTTTTAAGTCTCTGAGGACAGCTGAATTGCTTGTCAACATCTGAGACAAGAGTGATGCATGGGTGAGGATGATTCCATGTCGTGTGTCGATAAGAAGGCCACAACATGTGCTTTCTGTCCCATCCTTGCCATGAGATATTGACAGTGTACAACAGCGCTGTGACAAGGGAAGCTCTGCATCTTTCAGTTTCCCCATTTTCTGTGAAAAAAAATGTAAAATAACATGAAGATATTGACCAATAAGATTAATGAGAAAATGATTGAAAATTGATTTCTATTATATTATTACTTTACATTGTGATTGTATTGTAATATATTTAAGGATATTGCTAACTGTCTAATATGTGTTAACATGTAAATTTGTGACAGGGTTATCCCCCCTTCAAAAGTTTTAGATAAACATGGATAAATTAGCATATTCCTAAATATACGTAATTAAAATGATCATTAATGTTCAATGTAACATCAAAACATCACTAATTCCTGCTTTTGCAAATGAAGCATTTTCATATCTGTTCAGAAAGTAAAACAAAGATGCTTCCGGAGATCGCATGACTAGAGTGCTACCGTATTAGCTTTTTATTTTAAATAGCCTAAAAAAAGAAATGGTTTCTTGATCAATATTTCGAGATTTATCTCTGCTGCAATGTCAACGCACCAGGATTAAAACGTTTTGTGAAAGGCATTACAGGGACAAGACAGCACTGACTGCATGACCCCTTTCAGCTAATTTCTAGTGTTTTCATCTATAGATTGTTTACCCTGGTATGTGTCCCACAGTCTGGTTATCACTTACAGGAGGGAATCTGAAACACGTGAAAAGAACAGATGCTGGACACAAAAAAACATGTATTATGTGTATAATATGCTACATTATTTTCATAATATATTTCATACGCATCTATATATTTGTTTTTATGTGTCTGCAACTGTAGTCAAACCCCTTTCCCTTATAATGATCTATATACACGTATAGGGAAGCACTTAGCAGGGGAAATAAGCTTGCAAAAACACTCTCCAATTAATTATATTTTATGGTGGTGGTATGCCACTTTTTTGCTGGTAACAGATAAGCTAGGTATACAAATTAACTTTAGATTATGTGACATTTTAAGCATTCATTTTCGTTATGAAAGAAATTGATATGTCATTACACCCCTTCTTTTTAAGGTGTAGCAGCCTGGACTTGGTCTGAGTGAATCCTCGGCGACCAGATAGCTAAATTGGGCGAGTGTCTGACTAGAGTTCGGAGGGTTCCAGGTTCGAGCCCCAGTCTGGCCCCCCTCTTTTCTCCTGTTACAAATTTACCCACAGAAGATGGTATAGGGTCTCGTTACTCCAACAGTGTTAGAGCTGAAGGTGTTCATGGCGAGATGCTTTTTTTAATGACAGGCGCGCGCCGCGTCGCTGTCGGCAAAATCATATCAGATAGAAAAAAAAGCTGACCAGCGACCTCTTATTTTATAGGAGTACAAAGAGTTAATGCTTCCAAAATAAGAGGTTGCAGTCAGCAAAATCATATCCAAAAAAAAATGCCGACCATGCAGTGACCTCTTTTGTTAAGGAGTATTAAATTTGGTCTTGCGTGTCTCAGAGTTCAAGCCTTTGTTAAAGAAAGGAGGAATGAAACGGAACTGAACTTGGTCATTGGCGACCAGATAGCTCAATTTGTAGTGCGTCCCTTGGTCTTGCTGTGCATTTCTATTTCTTTCTGTTACAAAGGCATCAACCTTAAATGTCTGTGCATCTTTTTAACAACCAAAATTCAATAAATTCAAATTACATATCAATTTATTCCAATGTGAAGTTGTTTGGCTGGGATCTTATGATTAGTTGATTATCATTGGCTTGAAATGAATGATATCCAAGCCAATAATTTATCAGGCTTGTTGAACCTGCAAAATAGTGGGTGTAACCCTGTACTCCAGAAGCTAAATTAACTCTCTTAATAATCAAAGTGCTTAACAAGGATATGACAGTTCCTTTAAAGTATTTAAATACACAAAATAATGAACTGCATTGTGTTGCCATTTTTAGATCATGCATGTAAAAGCAATATGACGATTAATATTGTACCTAGATCCCACCAAAACGAAACTGCACCTGAAGGCTGAACTGCCGTCTGTGCCTGTAGTAAACAAGCACCTGTTATTTTGTGTACTACGTCATCAATTCATGGGTAACGTTAATGTTGCAGTGTGAAATGCACTTGTTTGCAACATTTTCCCTCGAGAAAACATGTTGAGTTTATTTTCATGTAAACCACACTTCATCACACCGGAGAATAATAGAATGGGCGCGGTCAGATACGCTATATCAGTATACTAAATGAAGGAGTGGTGTTACAGCCAATACATTTTTATTTCCGGTTAGAGGTCAGTGTCTGACGTCAGCATGCAGGCCGACCATTTGCACTGCCAAAACTTGCCCGATTGTTAATCTTAAAAACGACCAAACTGTTTAAGTCTTTGTATCCATTGTAGTCTGCATTCTTTAAAGAATACTATAATATAAGCACGACATCGTGACAGTTTTTAAACCCACCTGTACGTGCAATAGACCACGAACCATATTACTAGGTCAAAGGTTAAATATGTCCCTGATCAACCAATTGTAAGCCCCTTAGGTCACAGGCATGTTACATGACGGTGAGTGTTTTCTGAATATTATTTGCTGATAAATTTGTTGTGAATGGTTTGGGTTGGGTTGGTGTAAGTCCCTGGTGGCTATTATGGGCTCTGTTTTTTCCAAAATGTACTGTTCTGCTGCACATGTGCAATATATCGCCGTGATCATCACGATCGGAGCTGTCGATTGCGATAATGCTTTGTTCAGAATGGGGTCATGTTGAAACATAACTTTAGCTTTGGAAAGCCTCAGTAACTTGCCGGGAAGTGTCAATTCATTTGTCAGTCCAAGTATATAAACTATTTCCTCTGACCCCATGGCAAATGATGATTGTGCAATTTAACACAGTTGTTAGCGCGAGACGATTATAGGCCGTTGTTAAACATGTCTGTATGAATGTTCATATTAACAGCACTTGCTTCTTTAGCAGGTTGTTGAAAATGTCTATTTTGAATCCGATCTGCTTGGCGGTAGAAAAATAATCCGTCTGTCTATCCTTTCAGGGTATTATGGGTTTAAAGACCTTTTAGTCTAATGAGTTGTGGTATCATTTTTCATAAGTCGTATTTTGTCTAACCCAGAATTTGTTCATAAGATCACTGAACACCGATTTTTCCATTGAAGGGGAAAATGACTTTAGAACGATTTTGTATATAATGGCCTCCTTATAGATATGTGCGATACATTGTCCGCCATTTGTAAGCAATCGGATTTGGTTTGTTGATGATACAGATATTATTTCAGAACAGTTATAAACTGTGTCTATCTTTTATTGATAGGAATAGGTTAACGTTGTATCTTATCTGTAGGCGGTAACTCTGATTTCAAAATACCACACATCTTTTGAAACGAGAGTGATAAAATCTAATAAAATATTTGGTAGTACATAGTACTACATACATGTGTAATGATTATAAACATATCATTTTTGTGGGTCCAGCACCTTTGATTACCTAGCTATGATGCTGGATTTCATACATTGAAATTTACAAGACATACACATGAGAATATTAATATTATGTGCATGTTTACTGTATTGCATGTTATTTACAATTGTATGAATGATTCCATTACAAGTGATTGTGTGTCGGTGAAGTAACTTACATTTCTCATTGACAGGTACATTTGAAGTTAGTTTCTCAATTTTAGATTGTGAAAGAAGTTTTCAACCAAATTTCATAATGGACTGTCCGAAAACATGGAACAAATTATTCTGAATTATCATACTTTTTCCCAAAAAATCTGTTATAATGTGTTCGGAAGATTATGTTTGGACAATTTTTTTCTTTGTGACATACATGTATGAGTTCAATAAGTTGTTCCCTGATACTGGCTTATATTTTGAAAAAAATGATGTTAATTGACTTCCTGCTCTCAAAAAATAAATGGAATAGGATTTTTTGATATTTTGAAGCCTTATAAATACAGTATCTTCAAATTCAATAATAAAAACTGAGTTCTGGAGATTTCTGAAAGCACCCCTGTGCCACCTTAAGTAGTGAGTTCAGCTGGCTCAAAGGCCAAGTGAGAGGAGTAACCTGGCCTGAAGAGCTAAGTGATTATGAGCTTATAATGCTACCAATGCTATCATTATCATTTAATTAATGGACCCTACATTACCATGATAGTTATAATTCATAGTGTTCTTCCTTGAAGAGTGATGGAATTTGAATTTAAAAAGCAATTGCTATTTAATTTCCTCTTGTCCTGACATTCATAGCTTGTAATGACCTGTCACAGGCGGGTTCTACTGAAATCATTCATTTTCATAATTAACAATGCAGATCTGGCAGTCTCGATTCCCATATATTTGCATCAGAATGGGCTCTTCATATTATCACGTCAAATGTTTTGCTGACAGAGTCAACAGATACATTTGAGTTTTGCATAATGTATGATATGTTACAAGTCCGTTACACCGAATGAGGATTCAGCAATTTTTCCAAGAAAAAGACTTGAAAATACAGAAAAGCTTGCATTTGTTAAACTCTTTTAGGTAAGGAATTCATTTAGTTCATAAAAAAGTGAATGGTTAGCATGAGCTCTGCACGGACAGAGACACTATCCATTTTTCAAAATCAGACAAAATGAAGAAGAAATTTGCTGATTTAGTGATTATTTTTTCATTCCCCACTCAACAAAATTTATAAGAGATATTGAAAAGAGATCCATGAGTCTGCTGATACAGCTGGTTGGGAAGAATTATTTTGTCCATGTCGCGGTAACTATAATAGGTTTACATCATCACATGGGGGCCACAGAGGGCTAGTGGTTAATTGGAATATAAGGTGTCTGACCATCTATAATCACCAGCCCTCCACCACTGGGTCTCCAGTTCAAGACCTACGTGGGGCTGTATGCACCAGGAACTGGCCGCAGGTCGGTGGTTTTTCTGTGGGCACTCCAGTTTTCCCTCCACCACCAAAACCTGACACATCCTAAATGACAAAAGCCGTTAAAAAGGCGTAAGCACAAACAAACCAAACCAGACAACATCATGTCAGTGATGCAGCTTGTGTTGCTCTTTATGCTGCATGTTGTGGAGGCTAAATTTGACCTACATTTACACTTATGGTGCAAGTGACTGAAGATGAAATGGTCTAATCCATATTTATTATATAAGGTTAAATTTCATCCATATCTTGGTAATGATCATTGGCTACATGGAGGATATTGCATCAATGAAGCAACTAGGGTTGCTGTAGCAAATGTATGTTGCTGATATTCATCTGACATGCATTCAATTTAATGCACCCTGTATCATTCACAAATGTGAAGTATCCTACATTGTAATTGGGCATCTCATTGTCTCGCAATTATAAGACCCCTGAAAGTTAGCGCAAGTATTATTATAGATAGTATTAAATGTTGCTGGTAAATATATAGCTGGGTCTCGCGTCTGTTGATAACTCATATAATTTAGTTATATTTATGGCAAACCAATATATCCCTATTCCGTCTTTGCGTATTGCAGAGTTATCTTCTCTTGGGAGCAGGTATTGATTGTTACGTCATTGGTTTGTGTGAGAAAATTAAGTTGTTTTCTCAAAAATTGATGACGTTACTTTCACAAACAAGTGACGTAACAATCAATCCCTGCTCCCAAGAGAAGATAACTTTGCAATACGCAAAGACGGAATATGTGATTTAAAAGCAAAGATATACTTTTATTGCAGCAAAAACAAATGCCTATATTAAAAATGATTTCTGATGACTTCATGAATGTAGTAGAACATAAAATCATGTCTTTTGTAGTGGTGATTTGATGGAATACAGGAAGCTGACCTGTCAGCTGTTAAAATTTGTTAAGCAATGTTATAAAATGATAACGTAGATATTATCAGGTTAGTTTGTATTCCTCATACCTGATATAAGACTTCAGCAAGAGCAGAATACAATGAATACACTGGACATGAGTAATAACTCCAGTACACAAAGTAAAGGAGAAAAGACATGGAAGAACAAGGTCACGGAAGGGATACATGTACTTATTGCTGTAGCCATACATGTACATTATGTTGTATGTGAATTCCAAGTAGCTCTGGAATGTGGATCAATTTTGCAAACATGCATCATAAAAATAGTGCACATTTACTTGCAGCTTTATCGATATCAATTTTCATGATTTTATTTGGTCTTACACATAATTATGTGCAGGCTTCATGAAATTGGTTTCCGGTTTTTTCAAAATGGAGAATAACCTTTTATAAAAGTGAAATTTGAAAAACAGGGCTGTTACCCAGCCTAGGTATATATTGCAAGGTCTGTTTCTGTAAGAAATGACCAGAATAAGGGTATAAAGGTACATACATTTGTATATTTGTCTGCAGTACAAATACAAGTACTCTTGAATTATGAAATTGTTAAAATCATACTGTCATTTACAATTTATTTTGTTTTACAGATTTTGCAATCTTTAAGCCACACCAAGATGTTTGATTCCTGATGTGATGACACCCATCTTTTCCGATGAAATCCTCCGATTTCAAGTTCTTTCTCTCCACGACATTGGATGGGTATTTAATTACATATTGTTATAATTACCATAAATCAGATTTTAACTGTAAAACTGGCTGAAAGTAAAAGATAGTCTGCCTCAACTTGAATGACCTAGGAGAAAAAAACTTACTTGGGTAACTGAAAAACAAAATCCAAATTATTATTTTATCATTTCAATTCCAAAAATTTATCCAGAGTTAATAATTGACACTTTAACCAATACATTGGAAATGTTAACATCTGACATTATACATTATCAATATATATCAAAACATGAAAAAATGAAAACATTGGTTTAAAGGATTAATAATATAAATGCCAATACAAATGTGACATTTGTAAGAGTAAAATTAAATATTTATCCTACCTACCTATATACTAGTGCTGGGAATCTGTCCAATATTCAAGTTTGATGATCACTCATCATCAGACCTTTCAAATTTATGGACAATTGATTATCTTTGAAATCTGTGCCATAATTAAGATATATGTCAACACATTTAAAAACTGGCCATGATTACAGCATGTAAGACACTTAATCAATCAAAAACTTCAGCCTATTGACGCATACCATAGTACTTGTTATTGTGTTAATTATAAAAGACATATAAAGGTGAAAATACTTCTTGGAATAATTGCGTAATGAACTTCATTAAAATATGCTGTGCAATTAACATTCTAAATGTTGGATTTTGTGGTTTTCCGAATGATCCATTCATAATTGAAAATTATGAAGGCATGTACTACACATGTATTAACATATTTCTGATTTTAATTGGTCATCTAAGCGTGAAAATATAATTTTATATTGCAGTCCTCTCTGACATGGATGATGGGGGATCTTTCTTAGATGTTATAAAGTAAGTCTTGTTTTGGGCCATTTATTTTATGACTGAAACTATTGCAGTGTCTTTTGGTGTTTTGGGAATCGTAATAGTGACATTGGCATAGGGATAATCAGTGTGTGTCTTGCTATGATTTCGGCATTCCAGAGAATCTGTGAATGTGCACATTTGGCTTACTATTTTATTGCAAAACACATCATTATGGAAATGTGTATGCATACATTACGCTTGCCAACCATAAAAAATAGATGAAAAACACTGCCAAGAAACAATCATTCTAAGCACATTTGTTTTTATTTTTGTTCTGAAATTTTGAGATATGAGTTGATATTGTCATTGATAACAGAATAATTTTTGTTTTTGTTTCACTTTCAGTGAGAATGACTTGTTTGGGAATGCTGTTGGACCAGATGATGATGGGGTAAGGAATACCTGTGGTATACAGTGTACTAGCCTTCTAACCCAACAAGCGGCGTGTTGGAAACCAATTAACCCTTTCACCACTGTAGACCATAATGGACTCATCCAGATCAATGCATGGTAGAGTTTACTAAAGTTACATAGAGGTGAAAGGGTTACCGAAAATATGTTTGTTATTGTATAAAAATGTTTGACAAACCTTTGTTATGTTTAGATTCCCGTTCAATTTTTGGCTTCAAATTTATATGGGGATGAGATCAAGATCGGCTCTGCACAAAGCTTAGCTGTGCTATATAAACATAGCTTGAATGACATATCAAGTTGAAATCAATATTTTTGAAAAGGTGTTGAGATACAGTAAAACACCAAATTTTAGAATAGATATTTTGCACCTGTATATCACAGTATATATTCATACCAATATTGTGTAATGACATCTGTGTTCAATTTTATTGTTTTTTTGGGCCTCTTGTTTAAGATGATGATATTTGAAATCATAAGAACAAAGAATGCAATTTGAAAGACATTTATCCTTTTGCAGATTGAATGAAATAGCCCAAATTTTGTGTATATATTAGGTTTGTAAATTATAATTAATCCAATAGTTTTGAAGATGGAATTGAATCTACCCCAAAGTTTTGCAATATTGATTATGTTGATACTGTGATATTTAATTACACCGCTAGTCAGGGGTTGACACTAACTTTTGATAGGTGGGGTACCTCCTGCTTATAATAGCGGCAAACTATATACCACAAGCGACTCAAACGCTGAAAAGATTCCGACTTACCGCAAGCTGATTTACGCACTTCACTCGTCCAAGAAGGATAACGACAACTTTTAGCGGGTTAACAACACGAAAATACGATACATTTTTTAACCAGATGGGATTTTACGGCTCGCTGGCGAAGTAATTAAAGTCTTTATTAGTATATTTCTGAACGATATTCTCAAATATATATACACTAATCAAGTAATATGTGGTGGACCCGGTCCTCCGGTCTACCGTTAGTGTCGACCCCTGCTAGTGGAGGGGGCCAATAACAGTTCTGGGGCGACCATGACCATCTACAGGATTATCTCTGTATCTTTATGAGCATGTATACTATATTATACTTAATCTATATATTACTTCACCTATTGCAGAATTCAGGGTTTAACTGGGCAGACGAGTTCCTGTCAACGACAGGAGTTGATGATAATGCAGCAAATGCACATGTAGTCCAAAATGAGACAATTAGTCCGGTTGAGGTCGTGCCGCTGTCTATCCCAAACCATATCACAGTACAGCAAAATGTTGTCAATGCTCAGGGTTACCTCGCCCAGAGCTCGGCAGTGCCAGCACAGGGGGTGCCACGGTCGGCATCCCTTGGGGGTATGCAGATTGTCCAGGGTGCAACAGGGCTTGTGCAACAGACAACAGCTACTCCACAAACCCAGCAGATCAACATGTCAACTGTGGGGCAGCTACAGCAGGGGTAAGTTCTCCAAATGATATGCTCCTATATATACTGATTTATCTTCCTGAATATTTGGGGTTGATAATAAAACCTTTGCATTTTCCCAAAACTATTCCTAAAAAGCAAGTCAGTGATTTTACAACTTGAAAGGTAAAGTCTGCTATCACTATTTCTCAGAAAGTACCTGAAGGTTCTTTCTCAAAATTTCATAAATCAGTTCCCCTTGGTTATAAGTTGTGGTGTTTTTTTGGAACTGATTGCTAGAATAATATTGCTGCCATGGGGCAATCTAGGAGTTTGGCTGTTCAAAATCTGTTTAGCCATCTTCACAGTTAGAGTTTGTTTTCGCTACTTCGAGGAGTTGTTCTGAAATTTCCTAAGCTCCTCATTGTTCATAGTTGTGCAAATGAAGGGATTTTGGATTCTAGAATTACCTTTGTCTTGTGATAAATGCATCATTTAAATCAAAATGTGTTTTGTTTCACAGGCTGGGTCAGCAGATTGTGCAGGGCCCCAATGGACAGCTGATCCTGAAGCCTGGGGGTGGGGGCCAGATTTTCTTCCAGACCCAGCCCCAAATCCAGTCCCTACAGTCGGGCAGCACGCAAGCATCCAGCCTGCAGCAGGTCCCTGCGTCATCACAGGTCATCAACCGCATTCTCGCTCCCAACCAGAGTCCCGTGTCCACCTCTCCCATTGTCAGTCGAGCCATCACACCGGTGACATCTTCGAATGTTGGTCGATCTCTCACCCCTATCCAGAGTTGGGCAGGTGTGAACCCTGTCACCATGGTGACAAACAATGCCAACACTCCACAGGTATTCGCAAGGAACATCCCAATTCAGTTCAACAACCCCAATGCTGGGATACAGCTGCAGGGGCAGTCTGCCGTCCTCCAGCAAGGTCAGGGCGCCATCCTTCAACAGGGTCAAGGACAGAATACAATACTGCAACCTACACAAGGAAGTAATACAATGTTACATCAGAATCAGGGACAACCAGCTGCAGTATTACAGGGTCAAGGACAAAATATTGTGAATACTCAAAATACTGTGATTCAAAACCCCAATGTGGTCAATTTGAATGTTGCACATGTGTTGTGTAACTCACAACTACAAAATCAGTCTGGGTCAACAGTTCATCATATGGCCCCCAACATCCAAGGAACATTAATACAGACAGCTGATGGTAAACATATCATCATTCCCAATAACAGTGTTCCTCAGACTGTCGGGGGCCAATCTATCAACTTTCAGAACTTACCTCAGATGACAATCCAGCCCCAGTTGAACATTGCACAGAACACCAGCAGTGGGTCCAATATGGTGTTTGGGAGCACAAGCAACCTTACTGGAAACTTGGGTAATGTGATTCGACTGGCCACTCCTGGAGTAGGCACTACCCAGACCCCTGCTCCTACTCAAGACAAGGCAAATCAGCCCCAGCAACCATCACATTATATAGGCGTCAACCAACAAGGACAGCAAATTCTCATTCAAAGGACCCAAAATACTGCTGGTCAACAGCAAAACATCATTCTGCGGACTTTGAACCCCAACATTGTGCAGCTATCACAACAGCAGCAGCAGCAGCAGCAGCAGCAGCAACAGCAACAACAACCACTGCAAACTTCTGGTGGTATCCAAACTACCCCGCAAATTGCAGGTACGCCGGGAACACAGCAAGTATTGATGACAACGCAGGCCCAGGGCATTCAACTTCAGCGTATTGTCAACACGTCACAGGGGCAGCAGGTCAAACTCATCAGCCACGGAGGTGGTCAGGCAGCTGGCATGCCTTTAACCATCAACTGGCAGGGAATGCAGAATGCCACAAACAGTGCCATTCCCACAGCAATCCAAATGGTTCCTCAACAACAGGTACCGAAGACTATTAGTTCTAGTTCTGACGTGTCAGACATGTCTGTGCATCAACAGCCATCGTCCTCCCAGGTCGGAATGGTTCTCAATTCTCAGCCTGTCTCTGTGAAATCCATATCAAATCAAAACCAGTATATTCAACAACAACAGTCACAATCAACAACACCAAGACAAACCGTGTATTCCACACCTTCATCATCCAAAATCTCCTTGAGCTCTGCCTCAGCCACAGCTCAGCCAAAAGACATCACCACCCATACGTCTGCATCACCTCATCATCTTATCCAGAATCTGCAGGTTCCTCTGGTATCACAATACTCGGGGGCCTCCACCACGCCCAATTTGAGTACTGCAAGTACCACTACTGTTACTACCACAGTGACCCAGTCTCGGGTTCCTGTGACAACCACCAGTCAAGGCACCAACCAGGTCATGTCGTCCGTCCAGCTTCAGCAGCTTGTGGCGGGAGCAAGCCAGAAGCAGAATGTACTGCAGGCAAGAGATAGTGCACCGAAACTTCAGCACACCATACAGCTAACCCCCGAGGCTCAGGCTCAGCTACAACAGATACAGGAAAATCTCAAGAAGTTGGGCGGGGTTAAAAACCTGAGCACTGCGCAGAAAGTGCAGCGCAAACATTTACAAGAACTTCAAAAGAAAATTTTGTCGGAAGGTCAGATAATAAGGCAGACAATTCAAAGCACAGCATCACCTCTCACACAGCATTTAATTAATCAACAGACACAACAGCCAGTACAATACCAAACTCAAAATCTGATTGGACAAAGTGTTCAGCTAATAGGACAGAACCAAAATACTCCAACAGCACCTCATCTTGTGATAGGCCAGCAGCTGCCAAAGCCAATCATAGGCCAAGGGGCAGTGATGAAACCAGAGGTTGCATCATTTCAGGGGTCTGTGAAGGACCCTGCTCAAGGGACCATGGGAATCGTGCAATCACAGCAAACACCAACGCAATTTGTGCAGGCCACAATAACGGGATCAGCTACACCAGGTAAAGTATACTGGCAATTAAGACCTTGATAAACTGCCACTGATGTTTGTCAGCAAAATTTTGGCTCTTTAAAAGGGTTACTATGAAGGAGAGGTATAGATAAATTGTTCATAAGGAACGGAACAGATCTTATAAATGTTTAAATTGATGTTATTATTTTATTTTATAACATTGTGTTTTGATGTTCTAAGTAACTGACTATAGTTTCAGTGCTGGATGAAATAGTTCTGGCAACCAATTTGTTGTAGAAAGGGCATAGAATGTGATGAGGCAATGAACATGTTGGGGTTTTTTTCACAAGAAAGGGCTAACCAGGCATTGAACAGCTGACCGCTGATCTCAGATTTCAAATAGGGCTGACAGTATGCATTACTGTTTTTTTTATCCAATAAGGCAGCTTTTCCAAAAAGACTCCCCCAGAGATTATAAAACTTTCATTTGATTGCTTAATATATAATGATCATAAACTTCCGAATCTTTTTCCATCCCAGAATCTATGATTTTAGGAATTCATCTGGCTAGTATAGACAGACAACTTTGTCACCAAAATGGCAGTGTATCTAGTTTGAATGAAAACTCCTGCTAATACAGTGATCTAACAGTCTTTCAGAATGATAAACAATACATTAATTGGGATTAAATTTGAGAGTAGAAAAAAAGATCTTTGCAAGTCTGTTCATTGGTGGAAATAGCCAATACATGAATACAAGGTGCCCCACTCATTTTCTTTACCTGCTGCCTGTGCCCTTTAATATTATATCAAATATTGTAATTATTTGGTTACCCTCTTTCTATAGAGATTATTGAGTATTTTAAAAAGTGTTATTGTTTATTTTGTTGTGATGTGACTAGATATTTATATGTATATGTTAACTGTTTTCTCCAGCTGGAAATCTAGTCATCAAAACTGAAGCTATGCCAACCTCATCTCTATCCACACTGATAACCTCATCACACGTTTCTCCATCCATTTCTGCTTCACTAACCCAACCCACCACAAGTTTTCCCCAATTGTCCAAACCCAGTGATGTCAAGGCAGAGCCTTTAGATTCCGCCCAGGATGTGAGTCAGTTAGTCACCACAGGAAGTACCCAGGTTCTAATGAATCAACTTCCTGTTGGTGCAGTTCATCCGGGGGTTGTCATGGCGTCAGCACCACCTGGCAAAGTACCAATATCAGCTTCTCCTAAAGTTGCACTGCCCACTCCAATCCAGGTTAGTTCTCACATGATAATGGTATTACTGTAAACTTTAAACTGTTTAAAAAAACCGACTTCACCTTATTTTTCGAAAATTGATCAGCATAATTGTAAATTGGAATATTTAATTTTTTGAAATTGCTAAATATCTTGAAAAGGTTATGTTGGTACTGACTTTTTTTCTGGTTTCTTTTTGTATCTGAAAACCATGAAATTACACTTGGTTTTCAAAAAAACAAAATTGCAAAAGACTCTTTGAATTGAGTTGAGGGTTTTGTTTTTGGCTTCTATAGAAATATTACCACTCTTGATATAGTTTTGCATCTGACAGTGTTATTTCTGACATAATAAATATTGATATTCTTTTAGATGTTATCCTGTTAATTCACAAAACTGTCTATTCATATTTTGATAGATCGGGAATCACACGCTAAACTTGAATTTGACGGTTGAACAGAAAGAGAAAGTTCAAGGTTATCTGTCCAAGATGACACCTGAACAGCAGCAGCAACAGATCTCTCTCTTCCTGAAGCTTCAGCGTCAACAACAGCTGCAGGCCCAGGTAAATGCTCAAGTGAAGGCACAGCAGGTTTTACAGCAGAAGCAGACGCTAGGCCCAGCCCTGGCACAAACTTCCAGCAAACTGCCTATCACTGTGCAGGTAAGGCAAAACAAAGTTGATATTGTGTTTCTGATTTTTTGGTTCAAGAAATGTTTTATAGATATATCAGGACAAACAAAATGATTGTTCTGTTTTCACATTTCTCACTCATAGAATTAATATAGGTAGGTAAAACTTAAAAGTTATATAGAAAAGCATTTTATATAGGTGTTTCAACATGTTTGGGTTTTTGTCACGCCGGCACGAAGTGGAAGCGATATTAAGGTGTTGCCTTTCCTGCAACGGCCTTGTCAACATTAAGTTTTTAGGTCACCTGAGACAAAGTCTCAAGTGACCTATTGCGAACTCCTTTTGTCCGGCGTCCGGCGTGCGTCCGTAAACAATTCACATTTTCAACTTCTTCTCCAAAACCCCTGAACCAATTTCAATGAAATTTTGCAGAAACCTTCCATGGCCAAAGGTCAACAAAAGTAGTGGCCGGTTTTGTCCCCAGCCCTGAGGGGCGGGGCCAAAAAGGGTCAAATTGACTAACATTTCAAAATATTCTTCTCAAGACGCAGATATGGTAGAATCAAATACTCTTAATAGATGGAAGGGTCTTAAGGTGCTTTACCAAAATTGTGAATTTCTTGACCCTGTGGTCTCACACTTCCCCCTGGGGAGAGGGTAAACTTTACTATAGTTTATATAGGGAAATCACATTTTGGACCAACATTTGTTTAATTTCCATTGGAAGTAATTCAATTTAGGTTAGCATTATCAGTATTAGGTAGCAGTTTGATAGTTTGCACATATGAGCCCTGACTGACCCCCAGGGGCTGATGGGTGTGGCCAAAAAGGGTTGAATTGACTGAAATTTCAAAAATCTTCTTCTCAAGACGCAGATATGGTAGAATCAAATACTCTTAATAGATGGAAGGGTCTTAAGGTGCTTTACCAAAGTTGTAAATTTTATGACCCTTGGGTCTCGCGTTTCCCCCTGGGGAGGGGGTAAACTTTACTATAGTTTATATAGGGAAACCATATTTTGGACTAACATTTGTTTAATTGCCATTGGAGGTAATTCAATTTAGGTTAGCATTATCAGTATTGGGAAGCAGTTTGATGGTATGCACATATGAGCCCTGACTGAACCCCCAGAGCTGATGGATGTGGCCAGAAAGGGTTGAATCGAATGAAATTTCAAAAATCTTCTTCTCAAGACCAAGATATGGTAGAATCAAATACTCTTCATAGATGGAAGGCTCTTAAGGTTTATGACCCTAGGGTTTCACGTTTACCCCCTGGGAAGGAAGGGGGGGCAAAATTTATTATGGTTTATAATGGTAAATGATACTTTGAATATTACATGTTAATAACTTGATTGGAATTATAACCCTGAGTTGACAGTTTGAAACTATGAAAATTTTGAGCCAGCCCTACCCCCAAGAGCAGGCTGTAGGGTGGGCCCCAAAGGAGTCGGTGTGCTAAAATTTCTTCATTTTCCTTGTTTAGAATCAGAGGTGCTAGTTTCAAATACTTTTTAGTCTTAAATCTGTATTACAATACAATAAAACCACCTTATTCAAAATCATTTCTGTTGTTAGGATATTTTGAGTGTTCAAATATGGAAACAAATGTCTAATTGAGAAATACATATTTATTATGTCTTGATATGGATGCTATGGATGTTACTTTCATGAAATATACACCATTGCCTATTTCAGCAACTCGATAACAAAGCGGCCACTGCAACTAAGCCAGCGGAGCTAACGCCTTTGACAACTGTCTCCACAGCGACCACATCAACTGTTCCTGGCTTAAGAATTCCATTTGCAGCTATACCTAAGAGCCAGCTGTAAGTATACCGTAGAAGGCTCAAGTATAAAAGATTAAGTCTTTCCTGTTTGATGTACAGCGAATCCTGACTTTTACCCACACCTGACTTTAAAAACATCCTGTCATATGTAAATGATTTAATGGCTCCAAAAGACGACAAATTTTGTTTTGGAAATTTTATCAACACGAGTACTGTCTTATCTGACCGAATGATTTGCACCTTCACAGTCATATCTTGTACTGCTACCTTGCACTTCCATCGATTAGGACCGTAGCAGTATTCCTGGGAAAATAAGATGTTTAGTTAAAGGTCCCTTGTTTTTTTTGGGTTTGCTTGTGTTTTACATCCTATTAACAGCTATGGTCATTTAAGGACATTGCCAGGTTTTGGTGGTGGAGGAAAGCCACCGACCTATGGCCAGTACCTGGCAACTGCCCCACGTATGTCTCGAACCCGCGACCCAGAGGGTTAGTGTTAGCAGAATGTCCGACGCCTTAACCACTTGGCCATGGCGGCCATCAAGGTCCCTCGTACCACAATAGTTAAGAGGACAAATACATCAACAATTGTATTTTCAGAAAAATAAGCACTGGGGACAATCTGGGGGAACATCGCAGCCTGAAGCGAAATGGGTTTATATCGGTCTCATTAAATTATCCTACTGATTATGAAGTATTTATGATTTTATTTTTTCACTTTTTCAAAGAATTCATCAGCAGCTGAGGAAAGACCAGGATAACGCTCTAAAGCCTGACACAAAGTCACCATTCCGGAGTCGGCGTGACACGTATCGCCGCTTGCTCCGGTACCACGTGTTCCAATGCAAGTCTCCTCCTGATGATCTCATGGGAAAAGGTGAGAGCAGCCAGGATTAACAGTAGTAAACAAATCAATTACAAGTTTAGTTTGGTGAACATTTTTCCCAATTTGAGTTGTATTACCCCTGACAAAACACACTTAGTAACGTCTACCTTTAGTAAGAATACTTGGGGATTTGAGTGTCAACCACAAAAAACACTAGGCAGCCTCATCCTTAAAAATAACAAATCATCCACCTCTGAATATAATGCAATTCGTAGTGTCCAATCCAAACAATGATACTTGGCAGTGTTTGTTTGGGTTTAACGTGGTTGATACAGCAAAGGTCGTATGAAGACGGTACTTGGTAGTGTCCACTTGGGACAATAACGTGCTCCGTAGTATCAATACCACACAGTGCTCGGTAAGACAACCACATTTTACGTTCTCAATTCTGCAGTATAACCTTATTCATTCAGTTTCCAGAAGATCTTCTCAGATTCAAAAATAAAACAACTACATTCAAAAATTTGGAAACCAAAGTGGCAAGGCTTTGTATTATGTTTAGAGTTCATGTTAATTGGTTTTCAGATCTTTATATGGCTTTGTAGGTATACATGGATACTGACAATAACTAGAAGTAGAATTCCATGCCCTGTAAAGTAACACAGTTTGACATGATTGTATTATAGCTACAGAATGTCTGAACTTCATAGGGTCACAGCAATTTTCCAAGTACCTAACTAAGATAACATACACAATGACACCACTTTCAGAACTGTGCGCCCATAATGTTTGGAATTTTTTATATGTTGTAATTCAAGAACTGTTCCAGGATTTCACCATGTACAATGCTAGAATGATTTTATGTATTAATGTGGGGACTTTTTCCATAACAGATCATGAGATGTTTGAGAATGTGGCTGTTGGGCTGGTACACAAAAAGCAGAGACTGTTTGACAAATTTCGTCTTTTACTGTTGAAGGAGAGCATGGTTAGTATTTAATAAGGTTGTATGTGATAAAATTAATCAGGGGTCCTTACTTATAGCCATAAGTTAACTGGGTAAGAGATGTTCTCAACAGTTTGGATTTACATACATCAATGAGAAGCTTTTTTAAATAAAATTTCCCAGGGAACATGGTATATAAATCACAGAGTGTGATACATTAGACCCATGGAAAATGAAGCAAAACTTTTCTTAATTTTGGTTTTGTATCCTTCCAGATAAATACAAAGAATTTGTTGGTGACATTAAGTGAGAGAAAAAATCATTATAATTCTTTGTAACATGCAAGTTAGGGGGGGGGGGGG